TTTGAATCAGACGCTATCCAGACTTCCACCCTCAGACCTTCCCTGTGGAAGAGATATGTGGATGACACTTTCGTCATTTGGCCACATGGCCTCCCAGCTCTGAACCTTTTCCTACACCACATCAGTTCCAGACATCCCGCCATCAAATTCACCATGGAACTGGAGAAAGATGGCAAGCTACCATTCTTAGATGTTCTGTTTGAGAGGAGACCTGATGGCTCATTGGGGCATTCTGTCTACAGGAAACCCACCCACACAGATTCCTACTTGAAACCTGATTCCCACCACCACCCAGCCCAAAAGAATTCTCTCATCAAAACTTTATACCATAGGGCTCATTGCATTTCGGACCAACACCACCTGACCAGTGAATTAAAACATATACACCTGGCCCTCAAAAGGAATGGTTACTCTGACCGTACCATCCGCCAAGCTGTCTCTCCCTCCATACAGAAACAACCACTTGATACTCCGGTGAAAACCATCACACTTCCATATATAGCAGGTGTTACTAAAAATAGTTCCAAAATTCTAAACAAACACAAGATCCAGGTCCGGTTCAATACAGTACACAAAATTCGTGATCTGATCCCATCTGTGAAGGATGTCATTCCTGATTTACAGTACCCCGGGGTTTACAAATTGAGTTGTACCTGCGGTGATTGCTACATCGGTGAGACAAAGCGACATGTCTCTGACCGAATTCGCGAGCACAAATCATATTTGAAACACGGCAAAAGAATTCTTCTGCCGTGGCTGATCACTGTTACAACGCTGTGGGGGATCACGATATAATTTTCTCCGATACCAAGGTTCTTTGCAAACCCACGGGCTTTTATCAGAGATTTGTTCATGAAGCAATTCAGATCTACAAACACAGACACAATTTCAACCGAGAGGATGGTTTCAAATTAAGCAACCATTGGAAAGATGTTCTAAATCGAACTAAACATTAAACTAATTTCAATGGTACAGTATATTTTTCAAGTAGTGGTACCCCAAACTTTCGCAGCTCTTATAAATTCCCCCTTTTCACACCATCAATAGGTAAACTCCCCCCTTTTCCCCCGCGCCAAACTGCGAGTCCACCAGCACGTACACCACCTCTTTCCTAAAATCCGCCAATCAAATGCTAATTTTTATGCTAACTTCTTTGTCAGAACACCTTGTTTGCTCGCACACAGGTCCGATGTCTGAGCGTGGTTGTGTTTCGCTAAATTCTCCTGTTTGATGAGTACTAGGTGCCTCGGTGAATGTATATGCTCTAACTTTAACATAGCTATTTCTGTGACCAGTTACAAGCTAATCACTCAGCTATTTCAATGCTAAATTCGATGCTAATTCCTTTGTCAAGGGGTACCTCTGCGGATGTGTATACTTTAACTTAGCTATTTCAATGAGCCATTTCAATGCTAAATTATATGCCAATTCCTTTGTCAAGGCACTTGGCCTTTTTCCTCTCACACAGCTTAAAGGTCGTGATCTAAGCTTGGCTTCTTCCACTCCAGCGCTAATTCCTTTGTCAAGGGGTACCTCTGCGGATGTGTATACTTTAACTTAGCTATTTCAATGAGCTATTTCAATGCTAAATTATATGCTAATTCCTTTGTCAAGGCGCGTGGTCTTTTTCTTCTCACACAGCTTAAAGGTCGTGATCTAAGCGTGGCTTCTTCCACTCCAGCGCTGTCCTCCAGACAGTCTCGTCCCTTCACCTGATGAAGGCCGCTTGTGTTGTGGCCGAAACGTCGTGATTTTTTGTTATTTTATTTTCACCTACGTGACTTTACCCAATAGAACCAAAGAGTATGGATCCTAGCAGTCACGAAAGCTTTAAATCTAGAATCATGTCTGCATTAACCAAAATACTTGTGGTCAGAATGCAAAAAAAAACGTACTCTGATAATATATGCATTGTATTCGAAACTGATTGGTCCACACCAGAGACAGCTTTCTTTTGAGATTAGTCTCAAAACGGTGTTAGACCAAAGGACGCCAAAAGGCATACAGCACAAAGAAAAGCATCAGAGTAATGAGGGCTCGCGGTGAGCATTTACATCATGGGACCTCCTTTGCCAGTACAAATATATACAGCAGCAGGCATCGTCACGGTCTGGGATCGAACCCACGACCTCCTGCACACCAGGCGACATAGTTAACATCTGGCCACCGTGATGATGATGAGAGAGAGAAACGCATACTCCTGTAGTGACTGTACTTGTCACCGTGGGGTGCCGGAACTTGTGAAGTCATGGCCGGTAATGTCATTGCGGGCAGCCCGGGTTGCGGGCTGCAGTACCAACTCTAGCGGTGGTTGGGTGAGCGCTGGTTAGCGCGAGCAGTGTGCGGTGCCGGCTCCCAGTGAGTGAGCGAGAGCGAGCGTTAGCAAGCCAGGGTTACTCTGGGGCATGATACTCTGGCTGACCTGTTGTCACGTGACCGGACGATACTGGAGGGGGGCCACCGGTGGACGGGGGCCGAGACGCGGTCACGTGGTCCCGGAGAGCTCTCGGGAACATTCAAGAAGGGGCCCGAGGAGCCTGGAAGGTGGGCGGGGCTAAGGGCGGAGCCAGCCCCAGCCCGGGGGCATATAACGAGAGCTCCGTGAGGAGCTCGGGGTTCTTCAAGTGTTGGCGTTCGAAGATCCACGTCGGGGAGAAGAAGCCTCTAGCCACGCGGTCCGGGACCCAGCTTGTGGTCCGGACCGGGATAGCGAACCGTGTCTAGTTCTGCCGTAGTGTGGTTAGATGGCCATTCGAGACCCGAGCGTAGGTTGTGTTATGTTCGTGCTGTTGTGCTGAATAAATAGCGTTGCTCCCAAGTTAACGTCTGCGACGCAGTTGGACTCACTACAGTTACAAAAACCCGCAGTCAACGTGTCCCACACGTCTGATGGGCACGGTTGGCTACGTATGGTGCGAAGGAAGTTCAACATACGTACATTTAGAATTTATTACAAAATATGTTCACAAAGTTATCTTCGCGTCAGTCCTTTAATAAACAACAGTTACATAGCAGTGACAAAAGCTATTTGCGAGCCTCAAAACTGTCACTGTCAAAGGAAGGGGGCGCCTTTGCTGATATCAGTCTTCTTAAGTACTTGCCTTGCCTTGCGATATTCATTCACAAGAGCATATAACTGCTTAAAACCACTCGGCCTAGATATAGCGTAGAAAATACCTTAGCCTCAATCCTTCTAATTCAAAGTCCCCATATCGTACCTCCATAATTAACACTATTACATCATGGGAATTACAACGAAATTATTCAGATCATATATAAGTGTCCAAACACAACTGCATCTTAACCGTTTGCCATTCCGATGACATACGTCTGTCGCCCGATGAAGCTAGTAGATGACATACGTCATCGGAATGGCAAAGGGTGTGGCTCAGAGAGTTGGCGTTGTCGTCAAGGCCGCCACGAAGATGATGGGGTGTGCTTCCATAACGGGTGCCTCGGGAGAATCCTGCTGGATTATTCTGGCCGAGCAAAATCCATGACAACAAAATGAACAAAAATATAAACTGAACAAAAGAACATATATAACCTAAACGGCCCCCCCTTCGCACAAGCAGAACGCACAATTGTCATCACGTTTACACCTCTATTTAAGGAACGAAACAGGACTTCTCCACAAATATGTCTGTCGCCCGATGAAGCTAGTTGTAATTGCTGGCGAAACGTCGTACTCAGATGGTAAATGTTGTGGCTTGGCTCCCCAACACACCGGTGGCTGTACTAGTAATGAATTGGCCACGCTCTGTTTACGTGACAAACCTTACTAATTGGCCGTGTCGGGTGGTGGCGGGTTTAACGACACATTTATATACAGGGTGCTTAAAAATGTTTTTAACACTTAAATGGAAAAGAACGGAAAATACACTGTAACATGATAACAAAAAGTCTAATAATCTCCACTCGTTCGCCATCATTGTCACCAACATACTGGGAATCTTCTCCCGGTGGTCTCCAGAGCTCGGAGGCACATTTCTTGTGGTATTGTTGCAACTTCTCAGAAGTGTTAAAACATTTTTTGAAGCACCCTTATTATACACGATCTAACACAAAAAAAAAACCAAACCTGCATTATGGATATTGGTCGCGAAAGCCTACTAGGTGTTAAACTGAACAAAATACACGAGACATCTAGAGACTTCGACTTGGGACGGCTCGGAAACACGTACTCAGAATGGACCAGGGGACCCACGTACCAAAAAAAATGACCACCGTAGATGGACATCACCGGGTAAGAAGGAAACCCGGGAGACTCGAGACCACCTGGCCTGAGACGGTGAAGGACGAGCTGGCGGCAGCGATCAACCCCTCTTGGGGGGGCGAGGCTCACGACATGTTGCCAAGGACAGGAAGAAGTGGGGGAAACTCATTGCGGCCTTGCGTCCCACAGGCGATGAAGAGGATTCACTAACGAACGTGTACGTCATCACTGCAGGATCAACGAGGATTTGATCATTGAAGGCCATGCGGGAGGGCGTGTGGCACGGTTTGGCGCCGGCTACCGTGGAGTGGCAGTGGTCGTGTCGCTACGGTTCTCCGCGGGGAGTAACGACGCCTTGATAAAAAAACAGAGGCGCTGCTGGTGCCACGCCTCTCTAAATGAAACTAATGCCGAGCCCGCTTGTGCGCTCGGAGGTTAGGTGGTGAACGGGAACCACCCCACACCCTGCAACTTGCAGACCTCTCGGAAATGGGAAAGGGTTAAGATGCTGTACAGAAACCGGAACAGAAACCATCATCACGCGAACTCCAGCCGTCATCCTCGCAGCGGCGGCTTTTGGCTGGCCATCGAACAAAAGGCGGTCACCGCATCGCACGGCGATTTCAGATGCGCTTCTGCGGCCGTCTGGAATGCTCTTCCTTCCGATATTAGCAAGCCACTGGAGCTGTGAACTTTAAAATCAAAATTGAAAACGAATTTCTTTACAACATACATACAAAAACAACCTTACAGTAAGACAAAGAGAAAACGATTTTTTTTTTTAGCCACAGATGGAACCGGGATAGGGCCTAGGAGATTCTTCTCCAGAGTGTAGAACGATGGCCAGGCAAGAGCCAGGAGGCAGTTCTGGGACCATGGGCACTGGGTACAGGAATCGCTCATGAAATTCTGACTTTATCGCGATCATAGTAGGCTCCAAAATTTCACAAGCATAACCATATTTATTATTCGATATGCACGAGCCCTAGTCAGATTGCACACTTACAGATGAGGCAGTGGCTACCAGGGATGACATCATCAATCCTTATCTGCAGCAGTCAATCGGCTGCCAGGAAGACAACTCCCATGCAACATGGCCTCCGTTAATTACTTGTGCAACATGAACACCATGGCGACATCGCTCAATGTGCTTCAGCCGGTCTGTGGCTAAGGCAAAATTGTTGATAATATTAACGATTAAGAGATTAGTTATGCTATCAATACTATTAATCTCAGACTCTGGATAGCCCCTCGTACTTTCCCCAACAGATGGCACCTACGCCAGCCAGTCACGGGACCTGCCAATATTTGAGGCACCGCAGCCCCCAGTAGGGTCGTCACCACCTTGCCCCGTCATGTCTAGGCCGAGGGATTTCCCCTCCCCCCGAGACCTCAGAAATTATCTGCAAACTTGCAGACCTGTTCCTGGGGGTTGGAGATCAGATCACCGCTCTTCCCCTTAAGCATGATGACAGGTGTGGCGCTGCAAGTACCTTTTTTGGTTGAATTAAAGAGTGAGTTGTGATCGCGGGCTACCGAGGCAGATTCTTTCTCCTCAGCAACCTGTTTTTGTTTGTTGCGGTTGCACCCGAGTCAAGAGCCGCATGGCTCACAGGGTTATACCTAATAAATGAAACTGAAAACCACCACTCATCCTTGCAGTGCTGCACGGCTCTTCGAACCTACAAGCAAAGACTGCGGTAAGCCTCCTCATCTCCGACGTGAGATGTTGTAGATGGTAGGAAAGACCCTGTCACTTTCTCTTAGCCAGCTGGAGCACCTCAGCCAAGGTCTCTGGTGAGGTCTGGATTGCATGGAATTGCTACTTGCAAATACCATCAGCTAGCCGAGACCAGGCCACTGTGGGTTTGAAAGGGGTTCTAGATGGCCACCTACCACTGCAGTGGAAGAATGGCAGGCGGATCTTACATCACAAACCGATTGTCAGTGGGCAGATCAGCTCTATGGTAGTTCCTGGTGTCAAGGACATGGGCCCGCATCCGCTGTTCCATCACTATATAGTCCAGCAGATGTTCTTTTCTTGGACCCAGCGTGCATCGGCTCGACTACATTGCAATGTTGTGTGGATATGCCGATGACAGCATGGTATTTTTTGGCGATTACACGACAAGGGCTGCACAGAAGTCTAGCAGCCTCCTACCAATATTATTAGAAAGTTGGAGCAGACTCTGGAGAAAATGTTGAGCCACCAAATATTATCTCGGACCACAGTGTATTTCGCTGGCACCTTTCATTTCCTCACCAACCGCTAACTCCGATGCAGCGACAGGGTTAGCAGCTAAGGAGGGCTCGATATCCTTACGTGTAGTATCGATAGTTCAAATTGTATGTGCACATTTCATTGAGGGACTACCGTGTGTTGTATTGCTCTGGTCCGGGACTGCTGTTGTTGTTTTGCTGCCCTGCCCAAGCTTGCATTATTTATTCTTGAAGAATTGATATACTTTTGCAATTCGGCCAGAAATGCGTGTCTTTTTTTACTTGCTTGCCTTTCATATACTTTGCACTCCTATCGTATTTTTGTTTTGTGTTTATTGCTGTAACTTTCTATCCCGCCCCTACTGGACATGTGTGAAAAAGAGCTTCATAAGCTCATCAAATTCCCCCAGTCGAAATTAAGATTCTGATTCTGAGATAAGGAAGAATTCCTGGCTGCAAGCATCAAAACCCAAGTTCTTCGGTGCTCATGAGCCAGATAGCGCAAACGGGTTTTTTTTTCCATCTGTACCAGAGGACTCTCCAGTACCTGGCCGATTAATTTGCACTCGTGAGTAAAATTTCCGCCCGATGCCCAGCGACTCACGGCCTGGCACGACGTTCAGTGCCGCCGACTTCGTCGATGCTCGAGCGACGGCTCCGTTGGACCGACTTTTCTTCAGGACAGGCAGGTGTGGGCTGCAGCATGAAGCCGAATGGGCACCATATCATGGGACCTTTTTTGCCAGTATCAAAGTATGAAAAAATAAGAAGAGGTTTTCCCCTTTCGGGCAATAAAATGGGAGGTGTGTTAAGATGTTCAAACACCAAATAGATACCTTTTGCGAGGAATCAAGTACTACATTAACCGCGCACAGGGCTTGCGGTGAAAAACAAACATTATCAGAGCGTGTTTGTTTGCATGTTCATCAAAAGTATGGAATGGGCACTGAGTCCATCGCAAAGGAGCCGCAGAATCCCGGAGCGCTCTGCTCAGCCGAGTACGCAGTGCAGCTCTGTGGCGAATCTCCTGGGAACAGACACTCAAGTCGAAGACGACTGGCGGAGGTGCGTCGTCGGCGCGTGGCTTTTCTTGAACAAAGCCGCCTCATCCCAAGCCTGCAGTCGGCGCGATGCGTTTATGGCAGCTGACCGTGGCGAAGTCACGCTGCTCCGCCTCCTGCGTTCGAGACGGTCGATCGCAGCATCTTAGATGATAAGTCTTCGAGGAATTGCTGGCAACCAGTCGAGAAGGTCACCAGTGACATGCAGGGTACTTGGCCCGGTGTTCTTTAAACTCTACACCGGTGACCGTCAACGGCATCGCCCATCGTCATATCGGCATGCATTCCATGTGCCGATGATGTACAGTTCTCCTTCCACTCAGAAATCAATTTGCGTGTCTCTCACGTTACGCGCTTCATATCGTGTGCTGACGTCAAACCGTCCGAAGTTGAACGGGAACAAAAAACGAATTCATCACACTCGGGACCCGCCGTCAGCTCGCAAGAAGAGTAAATTGTAAGACCATCCACGTAAAATCACCGGGACATTCCAGTGCCGGACAAGGCAACAGTGCCTCGGCATTCTTGTCGACAGCGAGTTGACAAACAGCCGCTCACATCAGGCGCTTCGCCGGACGGTGCTTCTGTCGGTTTCGTCAACTGCACCGCCGCCTGTTATGTGCGCCGACCAGCGAGGCAGCCGGCATGCTCATCCACGCGTTTTGTCGTCGGTCGCGCGGACGACCACAACGGAATCTTCGGATGTGCCAAGCACAAGCGCACCTCTGTCTGCTCAGGTCAGCTCGTGTGATAGTTCGGAAGCGGAACATATGATTCGATTACGACTTCGATGGGACAAAGAGCTACACTGCCTACCTGTATAACATAGGACCGCGTACGAACTGTGCCCGCCCGTCTACAAGAGCTTGTGTAAATCCGCTCCGTCCTTCTCTTGGCGATCGGCACAGTGAGGGTCTCAACAGACCAAAATGGATGCCGTCCAGGATCCGCAGCCCACGGCGATCCACTGTACCCGCCGCTCGTGAACCTCGTGGTGCACCGATGCGACCAGCGCAGTTTCGGGATCTCCGGCCCCGAGACCCCGGACGGGTTACCAGCTCACGTTCAAGATCCATCCCTGAGCCGGAGTACGTTTTTGCAAGAGACTTAAAACGGCGTCGTTCCTACGTCCAATTAGTGCACGTTCATGACGGACTGGACTCGTAAGAGTGCACGATAAAAAATGCGCAGGATTACTTACTTGCTACACAAAGATCCCCAATATAGCCTTAACAGACTGTTGGGGCAAGTGCTGTTAGCGAGCACCTATGAAGGCCTGGCACGGCACACAAGGGGGTGGGTGCCAATGTTTTTTTGAGGCCGAGTCGTCGACCTAGGGGAAGTCCCAGGACCGTTTCAGATCATCGTCATTGCTGCTGGCCGTGAGCAGGAATCAAATTTGGGTCGCCGGGCTACGCAGCGCAGCGTAGGGCTCACCGTTGCGCCACCGCTCCCCACACAGACACATACAGCAGGCTGTGTTGGCCACTGGGCCATAATCTTAACCATAACCTTGGCCTAGGGTTTTTTTTAAAGTGAATGATGATGATGATGATTTTGATCCTACGTTGTGCCGTCTCATCGTTTTGGTGCTTTGATGACTGCAGGCAGTTTTTTTTCAATTCCGACGACGGGTGCTTCTGTGGCCGGAATCTAAATCAGTGGATCCCGCCTCCTCCTTCGTTGTGAATGACCATGTAGACATCTCCTTGTTCTAACGTCCGAACAATCTGGGTCTTTACGTGGCCAACGTATTCCAACGCTGTAGGAAACCACCGGAGCGATCGATGGATTTGATTTATTTCAGCAGCGAGAGCCAAATAAGCTGCCAGGCTCTATTTTTCATGGGCATCCTGCGACGGTAGAGATCTGCGTTGCAATCCGCGGTCACATAGGTCGCGATGCCAGCGCCAAGTATCGGCGCATGCTTTACACCTTACAGGACGTCACGGAACTGGTTAACCGTGTGAGTTGAGGTTAAAAGGAAGGGCGATATTTCACGATGATGATGATGAGGTATGTCCTGTATGTTGAACTTCTTTCGTACCGTGCGTAGCCGACCGTGCGAGGGAAGGGCAACAAACTAAAGACAAAAAGCAGTTCTAAAGAAATTAGTGCTCCAATCGAGATGATTTAAAGTACATAGCTCCAGTGGCTTCCTAATATCAGAAGGAAGAAACGTTCCAGACGGCCGCAGAAGCGCATCTGAAAGTGCCGTGTGATGATGCGCTGATGAAGATGGGGAGCTGTGAATAATGGGGGATGGCCCTGCATGGGGCGAGGAATGAAGTTCCGGGACCAGCAAAACTCAACCCCACAGAGTACCAAGCGGCACGGCCCCGGGGTCTGGCCTCGACCGTCGGGTCAATTCTCCCCATCCTGTTCAAGGAGCGACCTCACGCCTGGTTTGCCTAACATCCATTCAACAAAAAAACTAAAAGTTTTTTTTTATTTTACCAGGTAAGGCCCACTGAGCTGTACCGCTGTCTTTTAGAAGCGACCTGACCACAAATGACAGCCCAACGAAGTGGCTCATCAGGTGTAAATTTACAGCGGCAGCCAAAGACTCCTAAACGTGTCGTTCTCAATGGGGGGGGGGGGGGGGGAAATCCACGGAACCACGGGGAAAACACGCAAACTCCAAATATACAGCAGGCGTTAGGGTTGGGATCGAACCCACGACCTCCTGTACACCAGGCGAGGTAGTTAAAATCTCGCCACCCTGGCACCCGGCTCACCCACACCTGCTACGGCTTCAGTGAGCGTGGAGCGCTCTCATCGCCGACCGTGCTCTTTGTACGGAGGTCTGCGGTTCATCTTTTGCTCATCCTCCTCTTCACCCCCCGAGATGTCTCTCTTTTTGACATCTCAGTATTCCCCTCGGCTTTTTCACTCTTGTCCTCAAATTGCCTTCTTCTTCAGTTCACCCTCTCTGGCAAAAAAAATGTTTTTGTAATCCGCGATTAACATATATCTTGGCGGGTGAACGCGAGTTGAGAACGCGTCCCCGCATTCAGAAGAGCGCACGTTTTATTGGGTTCAATTTTGCAAGTAAGATTTCCGTTTCAGCGTAACGGAACCCCGTCTGGATCCCATCGGGTACTTGACAAGCACCGTGACCTGGGCGTACGTCCACACGCGTGCTTCACTTTCATGGCTTGTCCTTCGCGTGGCTCCTCCTGTGCGTATTGAGGGCTCCCGACCGCTGGAACGCCTTGCCGCACACGGCGCACACGTAGGGCTTCTCGCCCGTGTGCACCATCTTGTGCGTGCGGAGGGCTCCCGCCCATGCGAACGCGTCCCCGCACACGGCGCACGCGTACGGCTTCTCGCCCGTGTGGATCCTGTGGTGCTTGCGCAGGGTCACCGGCTCTTTGAAATCCTTGCCGCACACGGAGCACACGTACGGCCTCTCGCCCGTGTGCGTCCTCTGGTGGTTCCGAAGGTACTGCGAGCGGGTGAACGACTTTTCGCACACGGTGCACTTGTACGGCTTCTCCTCCATGTGGGTCCTCGTGTGCGTGAGGAGGGCTCCCGAGCGCGCGAACGCCTTGCCGCACTCGGTGCACGCGTACGGCTTCTCGCCCGTGTGGATCCTCTTGTGCGCGAGGAGGGCGCCCGACTGCGAGAACGCGTCGCCGCACTCGGCGCACTTGTACGGCTTCTCGCCCGTGTGCGTCCGCTGGTGGCTGCGCAGGTAGTCCGAGCGGGAAAACTCCATGCCGCAGACGGTGCAGTGGTAGAGCTTCTCCCCCGTGTGGATCCTCTTGTGCGACAGGAGGCTCGCCGACCACGCGAACGTCACGCCGCACTCGTCGCACCGGTAGGGCTTCTCCCCCGTGTGGGTCCTCTGGTGGCTGCGGAGGCAATCCGAACGGGTGAACTCCATCCCGCAATCGGTGCACTGGTAGTGGGCCTCCCGCGCGTGACACCTCTGGTGCGCGAGAAGGCTCTCCGGCTGGGCGAACGCCTCTCCGCACGCGGCGCACTTGTGCGGCTTCTCCTCGTCGTGCATCGCCCGGTGCTCGCGGAAGACCTCCGCGTCGACGAACACCTTGCCGCACTCGGCGCACTTGCGGGACTCCCCCGCGTCGTGCGTCGCCTGGTGGCCGATCAGGACGTTGAGATTGTCCGTGCTGTACGGGCAGTGGGGGCACCGGTACACGACGGGCTCGGTGCGGCCCGCGTGCCTCTTCATGTGGTCCTCCAGGGCGGGCAGGCTGACCACCACCCAGTTGCAGACGGGGCAGCAGATCCTCTTCACTTCCTCTCCTTCTTCTTCAATCATTTTCCCTTGCTCGTCACTGGAGCACACAGAGATAGACACGCAGATAGCCAGAGACACACACAGAGACAGACACAGGTATAGACACTCAGATAGACAGAGATACACAGGCAGACACACAGATAGAGATATACAGACATACACAGAGAGGACACAGAAAGACAGAGATACACACACGGAGATGAATAATAATTTATATTTCTAAGGCACCCTTAAGCAATTATTGTCCGGGCCCTGTGCACGAAAAGGCAGAAAGAGTTAACATCAACGATGGGAGGGAAAGACAGCTTGAAACTAACCAAAGGGAGAGAGAGATATGAAGATTTATAAAGTGCCTCAGAAGCCCCCAGAATTGTGGAGAATTCCTCCTGTTTCGTTTTGTTCCCCCCCTCCACTTAAGGAAAAACAACTGCAACAAGACTATACAAATCTGGCTATCGCCTGATGAAGCCAGTTGTTATTACTGGCCAAACGTCGTACTAAGATTGTAAATGTTGTGGTTTGGCTCTCCAACACACAACCGGTGTGCTCTACTAGTATACTACACTATACACTACACTATACACTACTATACACTCCACTAAACACTAGACTATACACTAGTGCTGCAATAGTAACGAATTGGCCACGTTCTGTTCACATGACAAACCTTACTAATTTGGCTATGTCGGGTAGTGGCGGCTTTAACGACACAACATTTATATATTTACGCGATCTAACCCTGCTTGTCCCGGATCTCAAGGTATATCGGAGTGCCATCGGCATACTGGTGAAGCGCACGTGCTCTGATCAGGTCTCCCAGTGCCTTCGTGTAAATATTGCACAGCAGGCGGTGATCACACCAACCCCCTGTGGGACTCCACACGTGACTGGCCGAGCTGAGGAGGAATTGAGAGCCCATTATTTTCTTTTGGTGGAGGGATTGGCCAATAATGACGTGAACCAATTGGGCGCATACCCGCACACAATGCTAAAAGTACTGCCTGTGGGGCAGGGTAGTGTGTGGCTGGTTAGTGGAGCGTGTGGCTGGGTAGTGGAGCGTGTGGCTGGTTAGTCGAGCGTGTGGCTGGGTAGTGGAGAGGCTGGCTGGGTAGCGGAGCGTGTGGCTGGGTAGTGGAGCGTGTGGCTGGGTAGTGGAGAGGCTGGTTGGGTAGCGGAGCGTGTGGCTGGGTAGTGGAGCGTGTGGCTGGGTAGCGGAGCATGTGGCTGGGTAGTGGAGCGTGTGGCTGGGTAGTGGAGAGGCTGGCTGGGTAGCGGAGAGTGTTGCTGGGTAGTGGAGCGTGTGGCTGGGTAGTGGAGCGTGTGGCTGGGCAGTGGAGTGTGTGGCTGGGCAGTGGTGTGTGTGGCTGGGTAGTGGAGCGTGTTGCTGGGTAGTGTAGAGTGTTGCTGGGTAATGGAGAGTGTTGCTGGGTAGTGGAGTGTGTGGCTGGGCAGTGGAGTGTGTTGCTGGGTAGTGTAGAGTGTTGCTGGGTAGTGTAGAGTGTTGCTGGGTAGTGTAGTGTGTAGCTGGGTAGTGTAGAGTGTTGCTGGGTAGTGGTGAGTGTTGCTGGGTAGTGGAGTGTGTGGCTGGGTAGTGTAGAGTTTTTTCTGGGTAGTGGAGCGTGTTGCTGGGTAGTGGAGTGTGTGGCTGGGTAGTGTAATGTGTGGCTGGGTAGTGTAGAGTGTTGCTGGGTAGTGTAGAGTGTTTCTGGGTAGTGTAGAGTGTTGCTGGGTAATGGAGTCTGTGGCTGGGTGGTGTAGAGTGTTGCTGGGTAGTAGAGAGTGTTCCTGGGTAGTGGAGTGTGTGGCTGGGTAGTGTAGAGTTTTGCTGGGTAGTGGAGCGTGTGGCTGGGTAGTGGAGTGTGTGGCTGGGTAGTGTAGAGTGTTGCTGGGTAGTGTAGAGTATTTCTGGGTAGTGTAGAGTGTTGCTGGGTAGTGTAGAGTGTTACTGGGTAGTGGAGAGTGTTGCTGGGTAGTGGAGTGTGTGGCTGGGCAGTGGACTGTGTGGCTGGGTAGTGGAGAGTGTTGCTGGGTAGTGGAGAGGGTTGCTGGGTAGTGGAGTGTGTGGCTGGGCAGTGGAGTGTGTGGCTGGGCAGTGGAGTGTGTGGCTGGGTAGTGGAGCGTGTTGCTGGGTAGTGTAGAGTGTTGCTGGGTAATGGAGAGTGTTGCTGGGTAGTGGAGTGTGTGGCTGGGCAGTGGAGTGTGTTGCTGGGTAGTGTAGAGTGTTGCTAATCTAACCAACTAAACGTACCTCCCTAAAACCTTCTGCTGCAAGACCCCCTAGATTCTGTGGTCTTCCCAATATTCATAAAGAAGGCACCCCACTACGACCCATCGTATCCACGATCAACTCCCCTACCTATAGACTAGCCCGTTTTCTGTCAGACACCTTGCTGCCTTTCACTGGCAAGACCGCCTCAGCAGTACTTAACTCAGCCCAATTGGTCTCTATGGTCAAAGACTTTGTACTGTCCCCTGACGATATCCTTGTCAGCTTCGATGTGGTCTCTCTGTTCACCAAGGTCCCAGTACCTGATACCATTGAAATAATTGAAAATTTGGTCCAACATGGACTAGACCCCGATACACCTGCGCTGGTTAGGCACTGCCTCACCAATACCTACTTTACTTGGAATGGCTCCTTCTACAAACAAAATGAGGGTACCCCCATGGGTTCCCCCTTGTCACCAGTGATAGCCAATATTTTCATGGAGAAATTTGAAACAGACCCGATCCAGACTCCCACCCTCAGACCTTCCCTCTGGAAGAGATATGTAGACGGCACTTTCGTCATTTGGCCACATGGCCTCCCAGCTTTGAACCTTTTCCTAGACCACATTAATTCCAGACACCCCGCCATCAAATTCACCATGGAAGTGGAGAAAGATGGCAAGCTACCATTCTTAGATGTTCTGTTTGAGAGACCTGATGGCTCATTGGGGCATTCTGTCTACAGGAAAACCACCCACACAGATTCCTACTTGAAACCTGATTCCCACCACCACCCGACGCAAAATAATTCTCTCATCAAAACGTTATACTACAGGGCTCATTGCATTTCGGACCAACACCACCTGACCAGTGAATATAAAATATGTACATCTGGCCCTCAAAAGGAATGGATACTCTGACCGTACCATTCGCCAAGCTGTTTCTCCCTCCATACAGAAACAACCACTTGGTACTCCGATAAAAACCATCACACTACCATATATAGCAGGCGTTACTAAAAAGATCTCCAAAATTCTAAACAAACACAAGATCCTGGTCCGGTTCAATACAGTACACAAAATCCGTGACCTGATCCCTTCCGTGAAGGATGTCATTCCTGACTTCCAGTACCCCGGGGTTTACAAATTGATCTGCACCTGTGGTGAATGCTATATCATCGGGGAGACGAAACAACATGTCTCTGACCGAATTCGCGAGCACAAATCAGATTTGAAACACGGCAGAACGAATTCTTCTGCCGTAGCTGATCACTGTTATAACGCTGTGGGTGATCACGATATAGTTTTCTCCGATACCAAGGTCCTCTGCAAAGCCACGGGTTTCTATCAGAGACTTGTCCACGAGGCAATTCAGATTTACAAACACAGACACAATTTCAACCGAGAAGATGGTTTCAAATTAAGCAACCATTGGAAAGATGTTCTAAACCGAACCAAACATTAAACTAATTTTCAATAGTACAGTATATTTATACAAGTAGTGGCATCCCAAACTCTCACGGTGGTGTAATGTCATTTTATGCTAATTCCAAGCTTTCACAGTAGTACATTTTATGCTAATTCCTTTTGTCAAGGCGTTTTCTGTTTGTGGCTGGGTAGTGTAGAGTGTTGCTGGGTAGTGTAGTGTGTTGCTGGGTAGTGTAGAGTGTTGCTGGGTAGTGTAGAGTGTGGCTGGATAGTGTAGAGTGTTGCTGGGTAGTGTAGCGTGTGGCTGGGTAGTGTAGAGTGTTGCTGGGTAGTGTAGAGTGTTGCTGGGTAGTGTAGAGTGTTGCTGGGTAGTGTAGAGTGTTGCTGGGTAGTGTAGAGTGTTGCTGGGTAGTGTAGAGTGTTGCTGGGTAGTGTAGAGTGTTGCTGGGTAGTGTAGTGTGTGGCTGGGTAGTGTAGAGTGTTGCTGGGTAGTGTAGAGTGTTGCTGGGTAGTGTAGAGTGTTGCTGGGTAGTGTAGAGTGTTGCTGGGTAGTGTAGTGTGTGGCTGGGTAGTGTAGAGTGTTGCTGGGTAGTGGAGTGTGTGGCTGGGTAGTGTAGAGTGTTGCTGGGTAGTGTAGAGTGTTGCTGGGTAGTGGAGCGTGTGGCTGGGTAGTGTAGAGTGTTGCTGGGTAGTGTAGAGTGTTGCTGGATAGTGGAGCGTGTGGCTGGGTAGTGGAGTGTGTTGCTGGGTAGTGTAGCGTGTTGCTGGGTAGTGTAGCGTGTTGCTGGGTAGTGTAGAGTGTGGCTGGGTAGTGTAGAGTGTTGCTGGATAGTGTAGCGTGTGGCTGGGTAGTGGAGTGTGTGGCTGGGTAGTATAGCGTGTTGCTGGGTAGTGTAGAGTGTTGCTGGGTAGTGTAGCGTGTTGCTGGGTAGTGTAGTGTGTTGCTGGGTAGTGGAGCGTGTGGTGCTGGGTAGTGTAGAGTGTTGCTGGGTAGTGGAGCATGTGGCTGGGTAGTGGAGTGTGTTTCTGGGTAATGTAGAGTGTTGCTGGGTAGTGGAGAGTGTCGCTGGGTAGTGTAAAGTGTTGCTGGGTAGTGTAGCGTGTTGCTGGGTAGTGGAGTGTGTGGCTGGGTAGTGTAGAGTGTTGCTGGGTAGTGTAGTGTGTTGCTGGGTAGTGTAGAGTGTTGCTGGGTAGTGTAGAGTGTGGCTGGATAGTGTAGAGTGTTGCTGGGTAGTGTAGCGTGTGGCTGGGTAGTGTAGAGTGTTGCTGGGTAGTGTAGCGTGTTGCTGGGTAGTGGAGTGTGTGGCTGGGTAGTGTAGAGTGTTGCTGGGTAGTGTAGTGTGTTGCTGGGTAGTGTAGAGTGTTGCTGGGTAGTGTAGAGTGTGGCTGGATAGTGTAGAGTGTTGCTGGGTAGTGTAGCGTGTGGCTGGGTAGTGTAGAGTGTTGCTGGGTAGTGTAGAGTGTTGCTGGGTAGTGTAGAGTGTTGCTGGGTAGTGTAGAGTGTTGCTGGGTAGTGTAGAGTGTTGCTGGGTAGTGTAGAGTGTTGCTGGGTAGTGTAGTGTGTGGCTGGGTAGTGTAGAGTGTTGCTGGGTAGTGTAGAGTGTTGCTGGGTAGTGTAGAGTGTTGCTGGGTAGTGTAGAGTGTTGCTGGGTAGTGTAGTGTGTGGCTGGGTAGTGTAGAGTGTTGCTGGGTAGTGGAGTGTGTGGCTGGGTAGTGTAGAGTGTTGCTGGGTAGTGTAGAGTGTTGCTGGGTAGTGGAGCGTGTGGCTGGGTAGTGTAGAGTGTTGCTGGGTAGTGTAGAGTGTTGCTGGATAGTGGAGCGTGTGGCTGGGTAGTGGAGTGTGTTGCTGGGTAGTGTAGCGTGTTGCTGGGTAGTGTAGCGTGTTGCTGGGTAGTGTAGAGTGTGGCTGGGTAGTGTAGAGTGTTGCTGGATAGTGTAGCGTGTGGCTGGGTAGTGGAGTGTGTGGCTGGGTAGTGTAGCGTGTTGCTGGGTAGTGTAGAGTGTTGCTGGGTAGTGTAGCGTGTTGCTGGGTAGTGTAGTGTGTTGCTGGGTAGTGGACCGTGTGGTGCTGGGTAGTGTAGAGTGTTGCTGGGTAGTGGAGCGTGTGGCTGGGTAGTGGAGTGTGTTTCTGGGTAATGTAGAGTGTTGCTGGGTAGTGGAGAGTGTCGCTGGGTAGTGTAAAGTGTTGCTGGGTAGTGTAGCGTGTTGCTGGGTAGTGGAGTGTGTGGCTGGGTAGTGTAGAGTGTTGCTGGGTAGTGGAGAGTGTTGCTGGGTAGTGTAGAGTGTGGCTGGGTAGTGTAGAGTGTTGCTGGGTAGTGTAGCGTGTGGCTGGGTAGTGTAGAGTGTTGCTGGGTAGTGTAGAGTGTTGCTGGGTAGTGGAGAGTGTTGCTGGGTAGTGGAGAGTGTTGCTGGGCAGTGAAGTTAACCAATTCGCCACAGCTCCGAGGCACAAAGACAAAGCTCCCCCGTGTAGCCTCTAGACAGCTGTAGGGGCAAGTGCTGTTAGTATTAGTGAGTAGCAGCAGCACCTATACACAGACAAAGGTCACCCGTGTAGCCTCTAGCAGGCTGTAGGGGCAAGTGCTGTTAGTATTAGTGAGTAGCAGCAGCAGCACCTATACACAGACAAAGGTCACCCGTGTAGCCTCTAGCAGGCTGTAGGGGCAAGTGCTGTTAGTAGTAGCGAGTAGCAGCAGCAGCAGCAGCAGCACCTACACACAGGTGCTGCAGCAGCAGCGCCTATGAAGGCCGCCACTGTGACAGACACAGAGGGGGTGGGTGGCCAGCACCACCCACGCCCGGCCGCCTTTGTCTCCCCATCCCTCCCCCATCCCTGTGCTGATGTTTAGTACAAAGACAAAGTTCCCCCATATAGTCTTGGGGGCAAGTGCTGTTAGCGAGCAGCACCACCACCACAACCACACCAGGCAACAACATTTGAGGCCCAGTCTACCTAGGGGCGGGCAGGAGGCAGGAGGCAGTAACCGGTTCGGACAATCGTCTCGCCAATGATGTGAGCCGTGAGCGATGTTTCAGTAGCGGGTGGACAACTCGAGGCCGAGTCGACCCAGGCGCGCGACAAGATCCCCCCCCCCCCCCGGCTCCTTACTCACCCTCTGTTCCCGCGGCGTCGGACCTCGCAGCGATGACGTCAAAAAAAATCGCGTTGGGTGGTGCGGTTAACGTGACGTCACACACTCCGCGCGGGGTCCCGGTGATGCGGGGGCGACGTGACATCATTCGCACCGAGTGCGCAGGATGCTCGTGACGTGACGTCAATTTTCTATTGTCTCCCCCCCCCCTCCTTTCATCCGCGTCTTCCGGCGGCGTCACTCGCTTCGCAAGTGTTTGACGTCACGTCCGTGTCTTGGAGTCGCGCGGGGAAGTGACGTCACGACCCCCCCCCGTCCCCGGCTGCCGAGCCTCTGTTGATCTCGTTTCGATGTGAGTCTCTTTCTGTCTGTGTGAGTCTCTGTGTGAGACTCTCTGTGTCTGTGTGAGACTCTCTCTTTCTGTCTGTGTGAGTCTCTCTCTGTCTGTGTGAGTCTCTGTGTCTGTGTGAGTCTCTCTCTCTGTCTGTGTGAGTCTCTTGTCTGTGTGAGTCTCTGTGTGTGTGTGAGTCTCTCTCTGTGCGAGTCTCTTGTCTGTGTGAGTCTCTGTGTGCGTGAGTCTCTCTCTGTGTGAGTCTCTTGTCTGTGTGAGTCTCTGTGTGTGTGAGTCTCTTGTCTGTGTGAGTCTCTTTCTGTCTGTGTGAGTCTCTGTGTGTGTGAGTCGCTTGTCTGTGTGAGTCTCTGTGTGTGTGAGTCTCTTGTCTGTGTGAGTCTCTTTCTGTCTGTGTGAGTCTCTGTGTGTGTGTGAGTCTCTGTCTGTGTGAGTCTCTGTGTGTGTGTGAGTCTCTCTCTGTCTGTGTGAGTCTCTTGTCTGTGTGTGTGAGTCTCTGTCTGTGTGAGTCTCTCTCTGTCTGTGTGAGTCTCTTGTCTGTGTGAGTCTCTGTGTGTGTGAAGTCTCTGTGTGTGTGTGAGTCTCTCTGTCTGTGTGAGTCTCTGTCTGTGTGAGTCTCTGTGTGTGTGTGAGTCTCTCTCTGTGTGAGTCTCTGTGTGTGTGAGTCTTTCTCTGTCTGTGTGAGTCTCTTGTCTGTGTGAGTCTCTGTGTGTGTGAGACTCTGTGTGTGTGAGTCTCTTTCTGTCTGTGAGTCTCTTTCTGTCTGTGTGAGTCTCTGTGTGAGTCTCTGTCTGTGTGTCTGTGTGAGTCTCTCTCTGTCTGTGTGAGTCTCTTGTCTGTGTGAGTCTCTGTGTGTGTGAGACTCTGTGTGTGTGAGTCTCTTTCTGTCTGTGAGTCTCTTTCTGTCTGTGTGAGTCTCTGTGTGAGTCTCTCTCTCTGTGTCTGTGTGAGCCTCTCTCTGTCTGTGTGAGTCTCTGTCTGTGTGAGTCTCTCTCTGTGTCTGTGTGAGTCTCTCTGTGTGTGTGAGAGTCTCTTTCTGTGTGAGTCTCTTTCTGTCTGTGTGAGTCTCTGTCTGTGTGAGTCTCTCTCTGTGTCTGTGTGAGTCTCGTTCTGTCTGTGTGAGTCTCTTTATGTCTGTGTGAGTCTCTGTCTGTCTGTGTGAGTCTCTCTCTGTCTGTGTGAGTCTCTCTGTGTGTGTGAGTCTCTCTCTGTGTGAGTCTCTTTCTGTCTGTGTGAGTCTCTCTCTGTGTCTGTGTGAGTCTCTTTCTGTCTGTGTGAGTCTCTTTCTGTCTGTGTGAGTCTCTGTCTGTCTGTGTGAGTCTCTGTCTGTGTGAGTCTCTCTGTCTGTGTGAGTCTCTCTCTGTCTGTGTGAGTCTCTCTCTGTCTGTGTGAGTCTCTTTCTGTCTGTGTGAGTCTCTTTCTGTCTGTGTGAGTCTCTGTCTGTCTGTGTGAGCCTCTCTCTGTCTGTGTGAGTCTCTCTGTGTGTGTGAGTCTCTCTCTGTCTGTGTGAGTCTCTTTCTGTCTGTGTGAGTCTCTTTCTGTCTGTGTGAGTCTCTCTGTCTGTGTGAGTCTCTCTCTCTGTCTGTGTGAGTCTCTGTGTGTGTGTGAGTCTCTGTCTGTGTGAGTCTCTTTCTGTCTGTGTGAGTCTCTTTCTGTCTGTGTGGGTCTCTTTCTGTCTGTGTGAGTCTCTTTCTGTCTGTGTGAGTCTCTTTCTGTCTGTGTGAGTCTCTTTCTGTCTGTGTGAGTCTGTCTGTCTGTGTGAGTCTCTGTCTGTGTGAGCCTCTGTGTGTGTGTGAGTCTCTCTCTGTCTGTGTGAGTCTCTTTCTGTCTGTGTGAGTCTCTTTCTGTCTGTGTGAGTCTTTCTGTCTGTGTGAGTTTCTCTCTCTCTGTCTGTGTGAGTCTCTCTGTGTGTGTGAGTTTCTCTCTGTCTGTGTGAGTCTCTCTCTGTCTGTGTGAGTCTCTTTCTGTCTGTGTGAGTCTCTTTCTGTCTGTGTGAGTCTCTCTGTCTGTGTGAGTCTCTCTGTGTGTGTGTCTGTGAGTCTCTCTCTGTCTGTGTGAGTCTCTTTCTGTCTGTGTGAGTCTCTTGTCTGTGTGAGTCTCTCTCTCTCTCTGTGTCTGTGTGAGTCTCTCTCTCTGTCTGTGTGAGTCTCTTTCTGTCTGAGTCTCTTGTCTGTATGAGTCTCTCTCTCTCTGTGTGTCTGTGTGAGTCTCTCTCTGTGTCTGTGTGAGTCTCTCTCTTGTCTGTGTGTGTCTCTCTCTTGTCTGTGTGTGTCTCTCTGTGTCTGTGTGAGTCTCTCTCTGTCTGTGTGAGTCTCTCTCTGTCTGTGTGAGTCTCTCTCTGTGTCTGTGCGAGTCTCTGTCTGTGTGAGTCTCTCTCTGTCTGTGTGAGTCTCTCTGTGTGTGTCTCTGTCTGTGTGAGTCTCTCTCTGTCTGTGTGAGTCTCTCTGTGTCTGTGTGAGTCTCTCTCTTGTCTGTGTGAGTCTCTCTCTGTCTGTGTGAGTCTCTCTCTCTGTCTGTGTGAGTCTCTCTGTGTCTGTGTGAGTCTCTCTCTGTCTGTGTGAGTCTCTCTCTGTCTGTGTGAGTCTCTCTCTGTCTGTGTGAGTCTCTCCCTGTGTCTGTGTGAGTCTCTCTGTCTGTGTCTATGTGAGTCTCTGTGTTTGTGTGAGTCTCTGTCTGTGTCTGTGTGAGTCTCTCCCTCTGTCTGTGTCTGTGTGAGTCTCTCTCTTGTCTGTGTCTGTGTGAGTCTCTCTATGTCTGTATCTGTGTGAGTCTCTCCCTGTCTGTGTGAGCCTCTCTCTGCCTGTGTGAGTCTGTCTGTGTCTGTGTGAGTCTCTCTCTGTCTGTGTGAGTCTCTCTCTGTGTCTGTGTGAGTCTCTCTGTCTGTCTGTGTGAGTCTCTGTCTGTCTGTGTCTGTGTGAGTCTCTCTGTGTCTGTGTGAGTCTCTCTGTCTGTCTGTGTGAGTCTCTCTGTCTGTCTGTGTCTATGTGAGTCTCTGTCTGTGTGAGTCTCTCTCTGTCTCTGTGTGAGTCTCTCTCTGTCTGTGTCTGTGTGAGTCTCTCTCTGTCTGTGTGAGTCGCTCTCTTGTCTGTGTCTGTGTGAGTCTCTCTCTTGTCTGTGTGAGTCTCTTGTCTGTGTCTGTGTGAGTCTCTCTCTTGTCTGTGTGAGTCTCTCTCTGTCTGTGTCTGTGTGAGTCTCTCTCTTATCTGTGTCTGTGTGAGTCTCTCTCTTGTCTGTGTGAGTCTCTCTCTGTCTGTGTCTGTGTGAGTCTCTGTCTGTGTGAGGCTCTCTCTTGTCTGTGTCTGTGTGAGTCTCTCTCTGGTCTGTGTGAGTCTCTCTGTATGTGTCTGTGTGAGTCACTCTCTGTCTGTGTGAGTCTCTCTCTTGTCTGTGTGAGTCTCTCTGTCTGTGTGAGTCTATCTCTTGTCTGTGTGAGTCTCTCTGTCTGTGTCTGTGTGAGTCTCTCTCTGTCTGTGTCTATGTGAGTCTCTGTCTGTGTCTGTGTGAGGCTCTCTCTTGTCTGTGTCTGTGTGAGTCTCTCTCTGGTCTGTGTGAGTCTCTCTGTATGTGTCTGTGTGAGTCACTCTCTGTCTGTGTGAGTCTCTCTCTTGTCTGTGTGAGTCTCTCACTTGTCTGTCTGTGTGAGTCTCTCTGTCTCTGTGTCTGTGTGAGGCTCTCTCTTTTCTGTGTCTGTGTGAGTCTCTCTCTCTCTGTGTCTGTGTGAGTCTCTCTGTGTCTGTGTGAGTCTCTCTCTGTCTGTGTCTGTGTGAGTCTCTCTGTCTGTCTGTGTCTCTCTCTCTGTCTGTGTGTGTCTCTCTCTTGTCTGTGTCTGTGTGAGTCTCTCTGTGTCTGCGTCTCTCTCGCTGTCTGTGTCTGTGTGAGTCTCTCTCTGTCTGTGTGAGTCTCTCTGTCTGTGTGAGTCTCTCTGTCTGTGTGAGTCTCTCTGTCTGTCTGTGTCTGTGAGTCTCTCTCTGTCTGTGTGAGTCTCTGTCTGTCTGTGTCTGTGTGAGGCTCTGTCTGTGTCTGTGAGTCTTTCTGTCTGTCTGTGTCTGTGTGAGGCCCTCTCTCTGTGTCTGTGTGAGTCTCTCTTATTCTTGATTCTTTCGGTAATGTCACGTAGAAGGGAAACAATAAAATAATAAAAATATTAAACAATAAAATTCTCACGACGTTTCGACTGCAACACAAGGTGTGAAAACCACTTTACCGAAAGAACCAAGAATATGAATCCCTGCAGTCACGAAAGCTTTAAATCAAAATGTTCTCTCTCTTGTCTGTGTGAGTCTCTCTGTCTGTCTGTGTCTGTGTGAGTCTCTATCTGTGTGAGACTCTCTCTTGTCTGTGTGAGTCCCTCTCTGTGTGAGTCTCTGTGTCTATGTGAGTCTGTGTGAGTCTCTATGTCTGTGTGAGTCTCTCTCTGTCTGTGTGAGTCTCTCTCTGTATCTGTGTGAGACTCTCTGTCTGTCTGTGTCTGTGTGAGGCTCTCTCTGTCTGTGTGAGTCTCGCTCCGTGTCTGTGTGAGTCTGTCTGTGTCTATGTGAGTCTCTGTGTCTGTGTGAGTCTCTCTGTCTGTGTCTGTGTGAGTCTCTCTGTCTGTCTGTGTCTGTGTGAGTCTCTGTCTGTGTGAGCCTCTCTGTGTCTGTGTGAGTCTCTCTGTCTGTGTGAGTCTCTCTGTCTGTCTGTGTCTATGTGAGTCTCTGTGTGAGTCTCTCTCTGTCTCTGTCTGTGTGAGTCTCTGTCTGTGTGAGTGTCTCTCTGTCTGTGTCTGTGTGAGTCTCTCTTGTCTGTGTCTGTGTGAGTCTCTCTCTTGTCTGTGTCTGTGTGAGTCTCTCTCTTGTCTGTGTGAGTCTCTTGTCTGTGTCTGTGTGAGTCCCTCTCTTGTCTGTGTGAGTCTGTCTCTGTCTGTGTGAGTTTCTCTGTCTGTGTGAGTCTCTCTCTTGTCTGTGTCTGTGTGAGTCTCTCTCTTGTCTGTGTGAGTCTCTCTCTGTCTCTGTCTGTGTGAGTCTCTCTCTCTGTCTGTGTCTGTGTGAGTCTCTCTCTTGTCTGTGTCTGTGTGAGTCTCTCTCTTGTCTGTGTGAGTCTCTCTCTGTCTGTGTCTGTGTTTGTCTCTCTCTGTCTGTGTCTGTGTGAGTCTCTCTTGTCTGTGTCTGTGTGAGTCTCTCTCTGTCTGTGTCTGTGTGAGTATCTCTCTGTCTGTGCGAGTCTCTCTCTTGTCTGTCTCTGTGTGAGTCTCTCCCTCTCTGTGTCTTTCTGTGTAAGTCTCTGTCTGTCTGTGTGAGTCTCTCTCTGTGTGAGTCTCTCTGTCTGTGTCTGTCTGAGTCCATCTCTTGTCTGTGTCTGTCTGAGTCCATCTCTTGTCTGTGTCTGTCTGAGTCCATCTCTTGTCTGTGTCTGTGTGAGCCCATCTCTTGTCTGTGTGAGTCTCTCTGTCTGTGTCTGTGTCTCTCTCTGTCTGTGTCTGTCTGAGCCTCTCTCTTGTCTGTCTGTCTGAGTTCATCTGTTGTCTGTGGCTGAGTGTCTCCGCTGTGTCTGCATCTCTCTTGTCCATCTCTCGTCTATCGATGTCCCTGTGCGAGGAGGCTGTCCGCCTCCAGGGGCCTGTCTCTCCGGGGAGACAAAGGCGGCCGGGCTCGCTACTGATAAAGCCCTTGCCCCGACTGTCTGCTCGAGGCTACACGGGGGGGCATCTTTGTCTTTTCGATCACGTGCTCTGTGTGTGTTTGTCTATCTGTGTGTGTCTCTGTGTCTGTATATATCTCCATCTTTCTGTATGTGTATCTGTCCATCTGTGTGTCTATCTGTCTATGTGTGTCTGTGTGTCTCTGTGTGTCTGTGTGTCTATCTGTCTGTGTGTGTCTATCTGTCTCTGTGTGTCTGTGTCTATCTGTGTCTGTGTGTCTCTCTGTGTGTCTGTCTCTGTGTGTCTGTGTGTTTATCTGTCTCTGTGTGTCTATCTGTCTCTGTGTCTATGTGTCTCTGTGTCTCTGTGTCTATCTGTGTATGTGTCTTATCTGTCTCTGTGTGTCTATCTGTTTGTGTGTCTGTCTCTGTGTGTCTGTGTGCATATGGCTATCTGTGTCTCTCTGTGTGTATCTGTCTATCTGTGTGTGTCTCTGTGTCTACGTCTATATATCTGTATTTATGTGTGTCTCTCTGTGTGTCTGTGTGTCTATCTGTCTCTGTGTGTCTATCTGTCTTTGTGTGTCTTATCTGTCTCCGTGTGTCTGTGTGTCAAAGGCCGTGAACTCGACTCCGGCAGCAGCTGAGCAGGAGGTGAGATTCGAGTAACAGCGCTGGGGGAGCGGTGGCGCAGCGGTTATGTTGGTGGGGTAAGTGGGGAGGGGTTGGTGGGGTGGGAGGGGCGGGGTTTGTGGGGTGGGCGGGGTCGGTGGGGTGTGCAGGGTGGGGAGGGGCAGGGCAAGTGGGGAGGGGTTGGTGGGGTGGGAGGGGCGGGGTTTGTGGGGTGGGCGGGGTCGGTGGGGTGTGCGGGGAGGGGCGGGGCAAGTGGGGAGGGGTTGGTGGGAGGGGCGGGGTTTGTGGGGTGGGCGGGGTTGGTGGGGTGTGCAGGGTGGGGAGGGGAGTGGCAAGTGGGGAGGGGTTTGTGGGGTGGGCGGGGTCGGTGGGGTGTGTAGGGTGGGGAGGGGCGTGGCAAGTGGGGAGGGGGTTTGTGGGGTGGGCGGGGGTCGGTGGGGTGTGCAGGGTGGGGAGGGGTGGGGCAAGTGGGGAGGGGTTGGTGGGGAGGGGTGGGCGGGGTTTGTGGGGTGGGCGGGGTCGGTGGGGTGTGCAGGGTGGGGAGGGGTGGGGCAAGTGGGGAGGGGTTGGTGGGGAGGGGTGGGCGGGGTTTGTGGGGTGGGCGGGGTCGGTGGGGTGTGCAGCGTGGGGAGGGGTTTGTGGGGTGGGCTGGGTCGGTGGGGTGTGCAGGGTGGGGAGGGGCGTGGCAAGTGGGGAGGGGTTTGTGGGGTGGGTGGGGGGGTATGGCGCCGAGGAAAGTAGCGCCGTGACTGCGCATGAACACCCTCGCGCGGTCACCCGCGCCCCGAGATTTGTCTCACTACGCGGAGGAGGTGCGGGGATTATTTTTTCTTCTGCCGTATCACCAACAACAACACCACCACCGTCGCCGTTAGTCGATTAAACCGTCGATTAATCACATCTGTTCGTGCTGATTATCAATACCCCCCCTCCCGCCCCCCCCGAAAGGTGAGGTGGGTGGGCGCGTGCGTGAGTGAGCTAAGCGTTACAGCAACCATGGCACCCAAGCGTAAGTTGAGTAGGCGTGATGTCGTCGGTGACGAAAGGCGAGAGACCTGGCGACCCCCACCCCCCAAAGAAGAGGGCCCGCAGGGTCATGACCCTCCTGCAGAAGGCGCAGCTCCTGGACCGCCTCGCCCTCGGCGAGAGCGCCGCCGCTACGGGGCCAACGAGTCGACCGTGCGCTCGATCCGCAAGTTGGAGGGGCGCATCAGGGCGAGCGAGCGCGCCCGCGAGCGCCAAGGTGCCGCGCGTCGCCCGTCGTGACCCCCTCGTGGAGCGCGTCGAGGCGGCGCCCGCGGCGTGGATCGAGGACGAGACGCGGCGGCGGGCGGCGCCGAGCGCCGGTGCCGTCCGCGGGAAAGCCCGGCGCCTCTACGGCCGCTTGGGACGCGGCCGGGGTCGCCAAGGCGGCGAAGAAGCCGCCGCCGCGGCCGCCGCGGCCACCGCCGCCGCCGCCAGGAGGTTCGGCGCCAGCCGCGGCTGGTTCGAGAACTTCAAGAGGCGGTTCGGCCTCCGGAACGTCGTCCACCGACGGCGCGGGACCCCGCCGCCGAGCATCGCCGACGAGGCGGGGAAGATCGCGGGGCCGGCGCGGAGCGTCGGCGGCAAGGGCTTCGCCGACGTGGAGGCGCGCGACGTGGAGCGCCTGCTGGAGTCGCGCGCGCACGCGCGGGATCTCACCGAGGCGGAGCTCGAGGAGTCTGATGGAGCCGCACGGAGACTCCGAGGAGGGGCCGTCGGTGGAGGAGGACGACGAGGAGGAAGAGGAAGCGAAGGGAGAGGAAGGAGAGGAAAGAGAGGAAGGAGAGGAAGAAGCGACGACGCCGCCGCCGCCGCCGCCAAGGTGCCGGATGCCGACGCGGGCGCTGTCCGAGTGCTTCGCGATGTTCCAGGCGGCCGTCGGTCGCCTCGCGGAAATCGACCCGCTGGCAGGCCTACTGGGAGGTCTATGGGGCACCGTGGTTGAAGGAGACGCAGCGGTCCGGCGGCAGGTATATTCTCAAGCTGTTAAAAGCAAAACATTTTTTGGTAAATTTAAAAAAGAAAAAAATAACACCGGGTAAGGGACTGAATTCTCCCAAGCTAAAATTGCCGCAGCCAATAAACGTTTGATGGGTACGTCTCGTGGCGTTTCTGGCAGATCTGATGGGATCTCGCAGTCTTCATCATCATCATCATCAAGGCTCTACCCCATCTCCTCTGTTGCCCTCCCACTCTCTTGTTTTACCTCTCACTTGACAGAGTTAATTTCCACTTTCAACATTAACCCCCCGCTCCCTTCCGCCACGTCCATGCTGACGGCATCGGCGAATGTTTACATCGACTGTGAGATTCTAATTAACATTTTTAAAAAAATTTACACCAGGTAAGGCCTGGATTCTCCCGAGCTAGAATTGTCACAGCCACCATACCCTTTTGATGGCTTCACGCACATTCAATTGATGATTCCAACCTGAAAGGTACGCCTCATGGCGTCTCTGGCAGATCTGATGAGGTCTCGTATTTTTCATCATCATCAAGGCTCTGTCTAAATGTTCCCCTTCTTCTCTATCGACCTCCCGCTATTTAATTTCCACCTTCAACATTAACCCTCCGCTCCCTTCCGCCACGTCCGTGCTGACGGCACCATCCGAATGTTCGTATCGACTGTTGGATTCCACTTTTAATTAAACTGCTGGAAACTCAACTAATTTTATCTTACCAGGAAAGGCCCACTGAGCTAAGCAGCTGTTTGTTTTTCAGTAAGCGACCTGGGGAGATGTTAACTCCCTCGCCTGGTATACAAGGTGGTCGTGGGTTCGATCCCGACCCTGACGCCTGTATTTGGCTGCTGCTATAAATTTCCACAAGTTGATGATGAGATCAGCCACTACTTCCTTGAGCTGCTATCATTTGTGATGGCCAGGTCGCTTCTGAAAAAGAGCTTCTACATAGCTCACTGGGGCCTTACTTGGTAGCAGTAAAATATAAATTAGTTTAATTTTTGGGTCTGTATCTATCTTTTGTATATGTGGGTGTGCGAAAATGTGATGAAAATAATGAAAACTAAATGAAATGTGAAATTTGCATAATTTATCCGAAATTATGTTATTTTGTGTAATTATGCACATAAATTATGCTAATTCAAGAGATAATCGTATTACTTTGTGCGAGTGGGCGTGGTTATGATAATGCAGGTCGTTATGATATTTAGGTCCAGCCTCGGTGACAAAGGTTGGTTATTAATTGGAACAACGCAATTAATCGTATGCAGTTGTGCAGGTATTGTGAGCGTGAATGAGAGAGAGTCAACTCGACTTGTTATTTAATTCCGTATTATCAATAAGGATACGATTATCTTCGATTTAACGTTTATTGATTATGTGTGGGTTATGGATTAGTGATAGATCCCCTCAAGGTTCAGATCTCATTCGCAGAACAATCTTATGCAGAATCGCGGAAAGAATCACACTCAACCTTCCTGCTTTAATCAATTTTATTTTCTAGCTAAACTTTAATTTTTGGATAATATGAAAACTCTCGATCTCGGAATTTCAACACAGCATTAACACGGTGACCATCACGATTGCGTTGTTTCACTTTGATAATGGCACCTGTGGTTAATTCCCGACGCGTAACGCAATTGATCGGTTGTTGAGAGATTAAAACATGCAAACTATTCTACAAAAACCTGGACTTTATCATACGTAAATTCGTACGCTTGAATTGTTACACAACAAGGCACTCGGTCATTGATCATAAGCGACCCTTAATGCAAATTCTTGTCACGTTGTTAACCAGTAGGACGATTGATTATTATGCAACTCAATGACATCTGAAAAGACACTCAAACCATTATTATTCTAAAGGCACAAATATGCGTTCATAGATCCGTCATTTCATTCAAGGATACCAGCAAGATTATGCAGAGAGAAAAATAATAACTCAAATACTTCTAATTTGACCTTATCAACGTAACTCAATGGGTGGCGGTGTTTCCCTTTGAGATCCTTATCAGCTAATAGTTGACACATTTATCATGAGTCTTCTTGTATGTTTTAATATGAGTGTTGTTGATTTCTTGCGTTAAGCAAACGCCTAGGTTGACATTCCTTGTAAAAAAAAACAACGATGTTTGTGCGTTGTGTAGCGGTTGGGGGAGTGAGGGGGGAGCGTGGGGGAAAAGGGAGGGGCATACGAACAGGCTGCCACAGTTTCTGTCCACCGCTGGCTGGATGAGTCGCCGTCGTCGCACGATGATGGGTGTCGAGTGCGGGGCCCGCTGCCCTCTCAGCGCTGGTGCTGATGGCGCACGCTCCCTCTCCCTGAAGATGCGCGAACGCGCCCGAGCTGGTTCGCTGACAGCAGTTCTCTCCACCGCTGCCGATTCGAGCCACGTCGCATGCGCTCTCTCTGTGGAGATGCTGACACTTTGTTGGCGGCTGGCCAAGCTTTTCCGCCGCTGTGTGAGTCGAGTCGCACGCGCTTGCTTCTCGGTGCTGTAAGCAGGCTCTCTCCACTGCTGTATGTTCTCGTTCGAGGCGTCGGCTTGGCTGCTCGTGCTGGCAGATACAGGCTCTTTCCGCTGCTGTATGGCTGGCACTTGATGTAGGAATAAAGTTTCGAGTGATACATTGTTCCCTGCCTGGACTCACTTTCGTTGATACATCGCGACTCAGCGATCCTCGCTGCTCAGCGAGGCTCGCGCTCCTTGGAGCCATCCGTTAGCTGCGACTGCTGGTCGTCTTGTCGACGTCTTGAATCGCTGATCCGTCTTGACTGCCTTGACTGAACTTTTTGAATGCCGTTATATTCAAAAATAATTACACTGCGCAGTGAAGGGGGGGGGCGTGGTCTGTGTGTGTGTGCGTTCGTGTGTGTGTTCGTGTGTCTGTGTTTTACAATTCTGGAAGGGAGGAGGGGGCGACCCTTGACTGGTTTATTACTATAGGAATAGGTTTTTACCCTTTTAACTGGCACAAAAACTGACACCTTTATTCAAGGCATCATTTTTGCAATAACCACAACACAAGCAGTCAAAATGCAAACAAAAAAGACAACTCTGATAATAATATGCACTTATTATCAGAGTTGTCTTTTTAATAATAATATGCACTTATTATCAGAGTTGTCTTTTTTGTTTGCATTTTGACTGCTTGTGTTGTGGTTATTGCAAACATGATGCCTTGATTAAAGGTGTCAGTTTTTGTGCCAGTTAAAAGGGTAAAACCTATTCCTATATCTTGTTACTGGCGAAGGAGGTCTCATAATGGTTTATTACTATTTATTGCTCATCTCCTGGATTTTCTGGTTTAATGGCCCTGTTACGATGGGCATCTGGTTTTCGTGTGTGGCTGGCTTACGTGTTTTATTAATTATTTGGTTTTGTCACTTAAAAAAAGAATGATATATATAACGGCATATATTATTGTTAATCTTAATTTTGGAAAAGACTCGATATCCAACATATCTCTATGGGTCTCTGTGTATCTCTGGGTTGAGAGTACTTTGGCTGCTGCTATAAATATCCACGTGATAAGTCACTGCTTGGTTGAGCTTCTATCATTTGTGAAAGCCAGGTCAGGGCTTCTGAAAAAGAGCCACTACAGAGCTTGCCTGGTAACAATAAAAATGGTTTACTTTTTTCGTGATTTTCTTACCTATCCTATACTTTGGCACTGTTATCGTGTTTTTGTACTGTGTTGTTGTAACGTTCTGACTCCGTGCCCCTATTGGACATCTGTGAACAAAGAGCTTCATAGCTGAATCTTGATTTGAATTGAATAATAGATATATACAGTAGAACCTCGGAGATTGAACGCACCAGAAATCGGAACAAATCGGTGTTCGAACGATATTTCCGAACATTTTTTTGCCCCGAACGAAATTCGGAGGTCGAACGGGGCAATCGCGACTTGAAATAACCTATTCTTGGTTCTTTCGGTAAAGTCACCACGTAGAAGGGAAACAATAAAATAATAAAAATATAAAACAATAAAATTCTCGCGACGTTTCGACTGGAACACAAGCAATCATCATCAGGTGTGAAACCACCTGATGATGAGAATTTTATTGTTTCATATTTTTATTATTTTGTTGTTTCCCTTCTACGTGACTATACCGAAAGAACCAAGAATATGAATCCCTGCAGTCACGAAAGCTTTAAATCAAAATTGAAAGAACCTGTACACGGCTGAGACGCGTATGGCCAGCAGCGTGCATGACGCTTGCCCGGACAAAGGTTTTACCGTATAGGACTCCCCTTCCAAACAATAACACCGCCACCACCTCCTCCTCCTCCTCACCACCTTCAACTCAAGTCATAAACTCTCCTTACTACAGGTAAAGTGAAGTTCAATGTTCATTTATTTCATTTATTTTATATATTTATTCATTTATTCCATTTATTTATTGTTTCTTGTTTTTGTGTATGATTTTATGCATGTAATTACTGTAAACTTCTTGTGTCTGGAACCAATTAATGTCATTTACATTCATTCTTATGGGGAAAATTAATTCGGTGTTCGAACAAATCGGTGTTCAAATGGCCTTCTGGAACGAATTAAGTTCCATCTCCGGGGTACCACTGTATTTAACCTCTTGTTGTAAGTTCTCTCGCTGGTTCAGCAGTTCCACTGCTGGATTATTCTTTCCGCCCGAGGACGACTGCTTGTGTTGCGATCGAAACGTCGTGATTGGTTTTTTCTACCTACGTGACTTTACCGAAAGAACCAAAGAGTATAGCTTTATAGCTCATTGGATTTCTCCAGGATGAACAGATTCTGATTGCGTGTGTATGTGTCTCCGTACTACGAACCCGGTGACCTGAGTTCGATTCCCGCTCACGGCCAACACCGGTGACGATTATCTGAACCGGTTCCTGGGCCTCACCTAGGTCGAATCAGACTCAAATTAGTAGCTGATGCAATGTGCAAATATGGTCCCTAGGGAGACAAAGGCGGCTGGACGGGCGTGGTGCTGGCCACCCACCCCATCGTGTGCCGTGCCTACAGTCTATTAATGCTATAGGGGGGATCTTTGTTGACACATTAGGGGGCACAGCTGGTGCATCTACCAGTCATCTCAGTCAACCCATGGCACCTGGGTCTATCCCATGACCTCCTGCCAGCAGCGAGCCTTCGACACGGAGGAAAGACTAAAATAGATTAAGTTTATCAGTAACATCTGGAGGTCAGAAGAACTGCCGAAGCTCCCCTTACACAAGGCGATGCGGGAGAGGGCGTGCGGCAGAGGCACGGCTCCCAGCTACCGTAGAGTGAGCGGCGGTCGTGTCGCTACGCTCCTCTGGCAGGCGAGCAACGACGTCTTTGTAAAAGACAATGGCGCTGGAGACACTACACTATACACTACACTACAATACACTACACGTTGGGCTCTATGGAGGCACTACACTATAGACTACACTATTATACACTACACTACTATACACTCCACTATATACTACACGTTGGGCTCTATGGAGGCCCGTCGTTAAGCGATTAGTCGTTAACAGGGGTGCTCATTAAGAGGGGCTCTACTGCAGTAAGCAGTAGGGCTTTCGCGACCAATATTGCATAATAAAGAGGTTTTTGGGGTTCGAACGCGTAAATATAAACGTGTAAGGTTTGTCATGTAAACCAAACTTGACAAATTAATTCTATATTTGAAGCTTCCGTGATTGCAAGGATTCATATTCTTTTGTTTTTTTTCGGTATAGTCACGTAGGTAAACATTTAAACGCCGAGGCCAGCTCGAGCGCTCCGAGATTCGGCGGTGAACGCGGGAGGACGGAGGCACAGATTCTTTACCCCCCCCCTCTTTTTGTTGTTGTTGTGCTCCCACTCCCTGCCCCCGCCCCCCCCCAGCACCGCCGAGGCAGACGACATGAGCGAGCAAGGAGAAGCAGGAGGGACGAGGATCTGCTGCCCGGTCTGCAACTGGGTGGTGGTCAGCTCACCCGCCCTCGACGACCACATGAAGCGCCACAGGGGCCGCACGGCGCCCGTGCTGTACCGGTGCCCCCTGTGCCCGTACGAGACGGACAAGCCGGTCGCGCTGATCGGCCACCAGAGGACGCACGTCGGGGAGAAACCGTTCGAGTGCCGGGCGTGCGGGGAGGCGTTCGCGAGGTCGGCGGATCTGCGCGCCCACCAGGAGGCGGCGCACGGCGGCGGGGAGGCCCACAAGTGCGACGTGTGCGGCAAGGCGTTCGCCCGCCCGGAGGCTCTCCTCTCGCACCAGAGGGTCCACATGGGCGAGAAGCCTTACCGGTGCAGCGTCTGCGGCATGGACTTCACGCGGGCGGAGCACCTGCGCAGCCACCACAGGACCCACACGGGCGAGAAGCCCTTCCGCTGCGCCACCTGCGGCAAGGCCTTCGCCCACCCGGGCACCCTCTCGACGCACACGAGGATCCACACGGGCGAGAAGCCGTACAGGTGCGACGTGTGCGGCAAGACGTTCACGCACCCGGGGGGCTTCCACATTCACAAGCGGACGCACACGGGCGAGAGGCCGTACGCGTGCGCCGTCTGCAAGAAGGCGTTCGCTCAGTCGGGCTCCCTCCTCGTCCACGAGCGGACGCACACGGGCGAGAGGCCGTACGCGTGCACAACGTGCGGCAAGGCCTTCGCCGAGTCGGGCGCCCTGCGCATACACGAGCGGACGCACACGGGCGAGAGGCCCTACAAGTGCACGGTGTGCGCCAGGGCGTTCGCGGACTCGGGGGCCCTGCGCACGCATGCCCGGATCCACGCGGGCGAGAGGCCCTACGGGTGCGACGTGTGCGGCAAGGCGTTCACGCAGTCGGGCTCCCTCCTCGTCCACCAGAGGATCCACACGCGGGAGCGGCCGTACGAGTGCGGCGCGTGCGGGAAGGCGTTCGCGGAGTCGGGCGCCCTCCGCGTGCACAAGAGGGTGCACACGAGGGAGCGGCCATACACGTGCGCCGTGTGCGGGAAGGCGTTCAAACAGTCGGGGGCCCTCCTCGTCCACCAGAGGGTCCACGCGAGGGAGAGGCGCGGCCGCCGCCGCCGCCGCGGCCAAGGTTGCGACGACGACTCTGGCGCCGCACCGCCGGCGTGCGAGCAGGGGACGACACCCGCCGGTTCGGCTGCTCCGAACCGGCGGGGCCGAGGGGTGAGTCGTGCCGGGGAGATCGAGGTGATGCTCGAAGACGAGAGCCCGGCGGCGACCCCTTCAGCACTCGAGGGGGAAGAAAAAGAGGAAGGAGAGGGACGTCGAGAAGACGCCAGCGTCGAGGCGCGCCCGGCGGTTAAAGTGGAAAGCGGAGCCGAAAACGCTTCCGTCTCCTCGGTGGTCGTCAAGCAGGAGTGGGAGGGGAGCTCTGGCTGCGGGCTGTGGCCGGGCGTGAAGGTGGAACCCTGCGGCGAGGATCCTGGCCTCTCGTGGTCGCTCGTGAAGCAGGAAGCCGAGGAAGGCGCCGGCTGTGAGACGCTCGCGGGCGTGAAGCTGGAAAGCGGAGGTCAAGCTTTGTCCATCTCGCCGTTGAGTGTGAAGCAGGAACCTGAAGAGGGCCCCGGTGGTGAGGCGCAGCTGGGGCGCACGTAGGCCGAAGGTTCTGCCCTGGGTGCAAGTGACGGCGGCAGAGTTTGTCGAGGAGCATGAACCGTCATCACGCAAACTCTCCGGTCGTCGTCCTCACACCAGCAGCAGCGGCGGCGGCTTCTGGCGAACCGTCGAACAAAGACGGTGGTCACCGCATCATCACCGCGAGCCGCTTGCAGATCCTGCGTCTTCTGCGGCCATCTGGAACTCTCTCTTCCTTCCGATATGAGGCCACTTGGAGCTACCGACTTTTAAATCGTCATCTAGATTGACACTCGTTTCTTTAGAACTGCTGCCTGTTGTGTTTAGTTTGTTGTCCCACCCTCCCGAACGTCCGATGAGTGCGGTTGGCTACGTACGGTGCTGCGAAATAAGTTCGATTTGGGAACGAGTGAAGGCACTCGAGAATTGGCGAGGACGCTACCCTGTTTTTCACACGCAAGTTTGAAGTCTGGCCAGTGGCATTTTGGACGACCTTGAGTTTTGCATTGGTGGGCAGGGATTTGGGGCTATGCCATAGAAGAGAGAAGGGGGAGTTGTGGTTCATCGATGCAGAGACGTTACAAAAGGATAGAAGAGGAGCAAGATACTCAAAGGAAGATTTAGAGCCACCGGAAAGTCGACAGGTCGGGGGACGAGAAGAATAATTATTACCAACGAGACGAACGAGCCAGACTTGTCGAGAACCCGAGTGTGGAGTTGTCGGTTACATGGTAGAAAGTTTGTGGGGGACTCCTTAAGAAAGGAAGGTTGACACGACCCCAAAGTCTCGCGACGTACCCGACGTTTGAACTTCTTTGCGCGCCGTCCGTGGCCGCCAAACTGCGCTGTTGATCGGAGGCGCGGTGCGGTGCTACGGGAGCAAGTAAATGAAGATGGACGGAAACGATGACATGGAGAGGGGGTTATCTCCGGGCAGGAATGCAAAGTCTTAATTGGCTTAATTGGAACGAACCAAAAAGAAAAAGGAGGGGGTATAAACGACGCGGATCGAAAAAAACTAAAAAGCTTAACACCATTGTTGGACGAGATTTCTTATGCACCCCCCCCCCCCCGCCCGCAGTCTGGAATACCCTCCTCCTCCCCCAAGCCCCTTGACTTCACGTCCGACAAATCAACTCCATGATGATACCACCATCATCACTATTACGATTGAAATCTAAACTAAAGGCCCTTTTTTCATCATCCAGGCATATGCTGAAAAATAGGTCATCACTTTCGGTGTAAATTAGTCGTAACTTTTTGGCCTAGTTTTCACACGTCATAGCAATACGGTAGATACCCCTCCTGAACGATAGTGATTGGTGCCATGAGACCGGTCGGTTAAGTGATTTGGTCGTTAAGTGAGTATAGGAAATGCACGTTAGAGGCTCAATTTGTTCCGCCAGCATCGAAAGTTACCCCTATTTAAGCCAGTACTTTATAATGTTTATGTTTAAACAATGGATATTAATACGTAAAGATACTAACATTATAAACGCATATTAAAAGGAACGCGATTAATCGATGCATTAATTAATATTTACTGTACCTACAACAGCTCGTCGTTAACAAGGGAATGATCTGTAAGCGAACACATTGGGCTCTCTGGAGGCACTACACTATACACTACTATACACTACACTATACACTCCTATACACTACACTATACACTACACTACTATACACTACACTATACACTACTATTCACTACACTATATACTACACGTTGGCCTCTATAGAGGCACTCCACTATACACTACACTACAATACAGGTTTGGCTCTATGGAGACACCACCACTATACACTACACGTTGGGCTCTATGGAGGCACTACACTATACACTACACTATTATACACTACACTACTATACACTCCACTATATACTACACGTTGGGCTCTATGGAGGCCCGTCGTTAAGTGATTAGTCGTTAACAGGGGTGCTCATTAAGAGGGGCTCTACTGCAGTAAGCAGTAGGGCTTTCGTGACCAATATTCCATAATAAAGGGGTGTTTGGGGTTCGAACGCGTAAATATAAATGTGTAAGGTTTGTCATGTAAACCAAACTTGTCCAATTAATTCTAGATTTGAAGCTTCCGTGACTGCAAGGATTCATATTCTTTGGTTTTTTCGGTAAAGTCACCACGTAGGTAAAATAAATGAAAACTAAATTAAATCACGTTTCGGAGGCAACACAAGCTTCCGTCTTCAGGTGGAAACCGTCACAGCAAAATTGCTGCATCAAGTGAAGAAAGCTCTAAGATACCCGAGATTATATACAGGTTAAGGGGGGGGGGCAGGAAGGACCGTGGGGGGGCTAAGTTAAGCCGCCTTTTGTTATGCTGCAGGGGGGTGAGGGGGACAGAGAGGCGATGGCGAGCGGTGATCGAAAGTGAGCGCAGCCAACTGGAAGAAATGGAAATGGCTGTACAATTGTAAGGCAGCTAAAGTTTGACTTGGTTTCGATTTAAAGCTTTCGTGACTGCAATGATTCATCTTCTTTGGTTCTTTCGGTAAAGTCACGTAGAATGAGAATAAAATAATAAATTGATAATTTTATCAATTTATTATTTTATCAATTTATTATTTTATTCTCATTCTACGTGACTTTACCGAAAGAACCAAAGAAGTTTGACTTGGTTGATAACATCTTTCCAACGATTGCTCAATTTAAAACCAATTAAGTGAACTACTTCACTAACCGGTTGTGTGTGTTGGAGAGTAGACCCACAGCATTTACAATTCGGGTACTAAAATTGGCACTTTTTTTTTACGTGACAAACTTTGCTCGGGTGCCACTGTGATGAGATGTTACCTCCCTCGCCGGGTATACAGGAGGTCGTGATTTGGATTCCGACCCCGATGGCTGTATAATTGGAGTTTGCATCTTGATTTGAAGCTTTCGTGACTGCAGGAATCCATACTCTTTGGTTCTTTCGGTAAAGTCGCGTAGTTTAATTTATTTTATTTTATACCTACGTGACTTTACCTGAAAGAACCAAAGATTATGGAGTTTGCATGTTCTCCCTGTGGTGGTCGCGTGGATTTTTCTCCGGCTCCTCCGGTTTTTTACCCTCCACATTTAGAATCAACATCACGCGTTTAGAGCAGCGGTCCTTAACTTTACTGCAGCCTTGCACCCCTTTGGTTCACATAATCGTAAAAAAGTATGTCAATAAATACATAGGTTTGATTAAACAAAGTCAGTTGTGTACTTATATGTACGTGCTTAATTTGCACTTCGATGATTTCTACCTTCTAAAAAAAATCTGGCCATGTCTCACACAGCCAGAAAGGGCATCCCGCTCCCCCAGGAGGTGCGTGCACCCCGGGGTTAAGATGAACCACTGGTTACGAGTTTTTGACTGCTATACATTTCCACATGATAAGCCACTATTCGGTTGAGCTGCTGTCATTTGTGATAGCCAGGTCGCTTCTTAAAAGGAGCTACGAATATAGCTCGGTAGTGGGGACCTTACCTGGCAAAATAAAAAAAGTGAAATAAAATATATACGCTGTGTCGGGTGGTGGTGACGGTGCTGGGTGAACACATTTATATTCATGCCATCTAACCCAACTAAAAAAAATAAACCTTTGTGAAGTTTTTGGCCAATCCACTGCCGCCCCCACCACTTCGCTCCCTGTGAAGCTTTCTCGGCTTCGAGACCTCACGGACGACCCATTTCTCTGTTGCGATAAATGTTGTGCTTCTTGTTGTTTTGGTGCCATTTCTGAATGTTTTACATGTCCGTTGCTTGCTTCGTCAGGGTTCTCGCTTGCCCGATGTTGTAGTGTCTGCACGCTGGGATTTTGCCCTCATGCGTAATTAATGCACGGTGCTATGGGGGTCCTATTGGTGTGAATGACGCAACGTAAAATGACCGCATTTTCAATTTCAGGAAAGTGGCTGTCGAAGACTTTTCCGTCAAGACTGCAAACGTAACAATAAAACGTCTCGTTGGCCCCAAATCTGAGCTATTCTGATTGAAGCTGCCCACCGGTGGGCAGCAAACCGAGGATGGCGACTTCCAATCCGATTGGTTGAACCCGAGTGTACGTAGTTAAGTGAACCCTCTTCATCCCCTGTGGGACGCAAGACCGCAATGAGTTCCCTCAACTTCTTCCTGTCCTTGGCAACAAGTCGTGAGCCTCGCCCCCCCCCAAGAGGGGTTGATCGCTGCCGCCAGGTGGTCTCGGTCTCCCGGGTTTTCTTTTTGCCTGGTGGTGTCCCATCTTGGCAATTTTTGGTATACGGGTCTCCCCTGGCCCATTCTGAGAACGTGTCCGAGCCGTCCGAGGCCCCGTCTCTCGAAATCTCGCGTGATATTCAACTTTCGTACGTTGAACTTCTTTCGCACCACCGTACGTAGCCAACCTTTGCTCATCGGAGATGGGGGGGGAGGGGGGGGGAAGGACAACAAACTAAACACAAAAAGCAGTTCTAAAGAAATGAGTTCGTCAATCTAGATGGTGATGTAAAAGTGCATCATAGCTCCCAGTGGCTTCCTAATATCGGAAGGGAAGAGCGTTCCAGACGGCCGTAGAAGCAGCAGCAGGGTCTGAAAGTGCCGCGTGGTGATGCGGTGACCGCCGTCTTTGTTTGGTGGCTAGCCAGGTCGTCTATAGTTTAGTGTATCGTGAAGTGTATATTAGCGTATAGCATCTGAAAGCGCTGCGCGATAACCGACGCATATTTGGAGTTTGCATGTTCTCCCTGTGGTGGTCACGTGGATTATCTCCCAGGTCCTCCGGTTTTCCCCTCTACATTTGGAATCAACATCACACGTTAAGAGTATTTGGCTGCTACCATAAATGTCCACGTGCTGATAAGTTACTTCGCTATCATTTGTGATAGCCCAGTCGCTTAGAAAAAAAAGAGCGATATAGCTCAGTGGGCCCTTACCTGGTAAAAAAAAAAAATTTTGTTCATATTTACCGTGCAAGTAATGTTTATTATGAGAAAAGATTAATTATATTTCACGTTCAAACTGCTTCCTGTAATGCTCAAGTTGACGTAGGGCAGGGGTGGGGAACCTTTTTTCTGCCAAGGGCCATTTGGATATTTATAACATAATTCGCAGGCCATACAAAATTATCAACTTAAAAATTAGCCCGTTATATTTGGTCAAACATTTTCATTAACTCACCCCTAACGCGATGGCTGGAACTGCTTCTCTTTGGCGAGGCGTGGTGATGATGATAGCTGGTATTGATGATGTTAGCTGGTATTGACGATGTTAGCTGGTATTGACGATGTAGCTGGTATTGGTGATGTTAGCTGGTATTGATGTTAGCTGGTATTGATGATGTTAGCTGGTATTAGTGATGTTAACTGGTATTGATGTTAGCTGGTATTGGTGATGTTAGCTGGTATTGGTAATGTTAGCTGGTATTGACGATGTTAGCTGGTATTGAGGATGTTAGCTGGTATTGACGATGTTAGCTGGTATTGACGATGTTAGCTGGTATTGATGTTAGCTGGTATTGATGATGTTAGCTGGCATTGACGATGTTAGCTGGTATTGATGTTAGCTGGTATTGATGATGTTAGTTGGTATTGACGATGTTAGCTGGTATTGATGTTAGCTGGTATTGGTGATGTTAGCTGGTATTGAGGATGTTAGCTGGTATTTGCGATGTTGCTACTCGCAAACTGCTTTTCCAGGTTTGCTCCTAGATTTATTGAATTTCGAGTCTCGCCTGCGGTTGCCTTGGCAGGGCCACACCAAATGATTTTGCGGGCCTCATACGGCCCACGGGCCGGACGTTCCCCACCCCTGACGTAGGGTAACATAAAACGGAAGGTGGGGTGCCTGTCGTATCACGAACCGTAAATCAACCCCCTCCTCGAATGCCATTTGATGCCTTCGAGTTTGTGAATTGCGGATTTGCCCACTGCGTTTCTATTCGCAGGAAAGTAACCCCTGCCCACGACGGGAAAGTGTTTAGTGCACTGTACACCAAGCATCTTCGGGACAAGACGCAGGAATTCCGAATGAGAACAATGACTCGGCCCGATCTCTTCATCCCAATTTCATCATCTTGTATCGCACATGCAAGTACAGAAATTCCTCATCACCCGCGTGGGGGGGGGGGGGGTTTAGGTTCCTGGAAAATTGCGCGGTAGGAAAATCAGCTGTTGGTAAAGTTCCGGGGGGCCTGTGGTAAATAGGGGGTTAGTGGGACCACAGCCGCAGTCAGACTCGTCATAGCTTAACTAAGTTGCCCGTTTATTCACTAAACACCGAATGAAATACGGTACATTACGCAACATAACAAAACATAAATACTCTATTAACTTTACATAACTTGAATGTTAACGATGATGATGAGATGACGGGGAAGAGCTGGCTAGAAGGAGCAAGAGGTCCTTCGCCCACCGTCTTACTACGGGGCCACGGACACAATCCTGACTCACCCTCACCACTCACTACCACACTTCGGCTCCATCATTAAGGGGGCAAAAGTAACCCGAATGTGGTTGCAGTGCGACGCCATCTGCGCGCTGCGAGAATTACAGCACAGCACCACGATACAACAAAACAGACGGGAAGCCAATCAGCCGCGCGGCGCCACGGCCACACAATGACGTCTCACGTGACAATGACGTCATGCTGTAAAGCAACGACGTAATACCCACGCCCGCGGTTGGAAAGTTGGTATACAGGTGTAGTGACACAGTGCTGACTGCTGTACAGCAACTGCAGGTAGACACTTAGCGCGCGTGCCGTTGAGCATGTACACAGGTGTGCCGGCAGCGCGGAGGAACTGGGGCAAGGGTCACGATGGACCTTGTGGGGAGGCCCCTGGAACCCTCTGGTGAGTTCGAGAAGGGAGGCGTGGCTAGGGCGGAGCCAAGCCGCGCCTAGCGGAATATGAGCAGCGGAGAGCGAGAGCTCCGGGCTGCCGGTTCTGGGAGTAGACTCGTCTTGTCGTCGCTGTTGTCGTCGTCGCCTTCGCCCGATCATTGCACGGCCGTACAGTAGTTGGCTGTCCCGGTTGACGCCGTCGACGCAAAGCGGACAGGGTCATGTCTGGGTCGGGTCGTACGTCAGCGTGGTCGTGAGAGAGAGAGAGGGGGGCCGGAGTTGGTGGCGGTGGAAGGTAATATGGGATGGACGGTGCCTCCTGCGACTACCTCGTCTCCGACTGAGTGTGTGTGCCGCACGCCACCCGCGCACACACAAGCCTCGGCGAGGAAGAAGAGACCTACGACACTGCACAGGTAATAAACCGTGTGTGCATGGAACCATGGTTGGCAGGTCCGTGGTTAGCGAGGGATTCCTGTATTATACACTACACCAGGGGTGGCCAACCTGTAACAGACCACGAGCCAAAAAGGAGCCGTGAGTTCTGCAAAGAGCCAAGTGTATACATATATAAGTGTGTGTGTATATATAGACAGTTTTCGGCATAGCACGGAAGACGTCTTTGCCGCTGTGATAGTGCGTTCTATGTTATGCCCCTTAGAGAGAGCCGCATGTGGTGGAATAAAGATCTGCATGCGGCTCGAGAGACGCCGGTTAGCCACCGCTGCACTCCACTATACACTACACCACCAATGTACTGCATTGAGAAGTAATTTATTTAGAACTGCTATTTGTGTTTAGTTTGCTGTCCTTCCCCCGCATCTCCTTAATTATCACGGTTGCCTGTGTGAGGCGGGAAAGAAGTTCGACATCCCCCACTGGCACCGCCAATTCGTCCAATGTCCAGAAAAGAACTCGCCTCACACGCCACTCTCCGTGGCGCCCGCGACTCCACATCACTCGGGCGAACCTCCCGAACATCAGGGCCCCCAACCTTAGTCCACCCCCTCGCCCGGTCGTGGCTCTCAACCGGCAGCATCTTCAGCTGCCCCGCTGCGCCACTGATGGGCGTAGGGAAGGATCCCCTCCATCTCCATCCGCAGGCATGCCTGGCCATGTATCGTGACCGGCAGTGTCGCCGCGTCCCCGCTCCGACGCGGAAGGGGCCACCGGCTGACATCCGCCGCCGCCATCATAGTCGTCACTGCCGTCACTGCCGTCACCGCTACCGCCGCCATCACCGCCGCCGCCATCACCGCCGCCGCCGTCACCGTTGCCGTTGTCGCTGCCGCCGCCATCTTCACCGCCTCCGCCGTCGTCACCGTCTCCGCCGTCACCGTCTCCGCCGTCACCGTCTCCGCCGTCGTCACCGCCACCGCCGTCGTCACCGCCACCGCCGTCGTTCGCGTCACCGGCAACGGCCGCTTGTCCTCCCCGAATCCCAGCTGCCACCGCCGCCTCCGCCTTCGCCGCCCCTCGGGCGATCGTCCTCCCACAGGCCAAGCAACTCCGGCGCCCCTTCCCGCCCCTGCGCCTGGCCAGCGCGGAGCGCCCTGGCGCTGCCCTCCCGCAGGTGGTGCACGCGCGGGCCCTCGCCCTGGCGTGGGTCTCCCGGTGAGCCAGGAGTCCACCCGACTGCGCGAACGCCTTGCCGCACTCACCGCACGCGTACGGCCGCTCGCCCGTGTGCGTCCGCCGGTGCGCCGACAGCGTGCCCGAGTTGGCGAACGCCTTGCCGCACTCGGCGCACGCGTACGGCCGCTCGCCCGTGTGCGTCCTGTTGTGGCTGCGCAGGTGCTCGGCGCGGCCGAAGGTGGCGCCGCACACGGAGCACTGGTAGGCGTTCTCGCCCGTGTGGATCATCTGGTGGCCGCGGAAGTGGTCGACGCGGGTGAAGCCCATCCCGCACACGTCGCAGCGGTACGGCTTCTCGCCCGCGTGCACCCTCTGGTGCGACCGGAGAGCGTCCGGCTGGGCGAACCCCTTTCTGCACACGGGGCACCGGTGGGGCCTCTCCTCCACGTGGAGGCGCTGGTGGACGCGGAAGTCCTCCGGCTCGGCGAAGGCCTCCCCGCACGTGCGGCACTTGTAGGGCTTCTCGCCGACGTGCGTCTTCTGGTGGCTGATGAGGACGAAGGGCTTGTCGGTCCTGTACGGGCACAGGGTGCACTGGTACAAGATGGGCTCGGTGCGCCCTCCGTGCCGCTTCAAGTGGTCCTCCAGGGCCTGCGGGCTGACCACCACCCAGTTGCACACCGGGCAGCAGATCCTTGTCCCCTCTGCTTCCGCGCTGGCGCTCATCGTGTCCTCGTGTTCGGCACTGGCGGTGGGCAGAGAGTGAGGGGACGAGAAGGGAAATTAATCCTTACCGCTTATCATCTTGATTCACCCTTTTCCGGTTCTATTGACGTACGTGTACGTCATTGGAAATAAAACCGGAAGAAAAACCAAAACAACTTTATCGGTAACCGAGGTCATGCGGGGGGGAGGGCGTGTGGCATGGTTTGGAGGTCGCGTCGTTTCTGTTCTCTGCGGTGAGTAACAATATATTTTAAATCATCGGTGCTACATAAAATTAAGGCTGGGCCGCCTGCACGTTCCACGAGGTGAACTGGACACCCAGCCTGCAACTTGCAGACGTCTCGGTACTGAAAAGGGTTAAAACACCCCCAATGAGGTGCAGAAATGCCCCGATTTACGCACTCCCGCTTTACGTACTTTCGCTATAATGTACTCGGCTAATTGTAAGTACGTACGAATGCTGAACTTCTTTCACACCGTACGTAGCCAGCCGTGCTAATCAGAGGTGCGGGGGAAGGATAACAAATCTATACGATTTTAAATTGCATAGTTCCAGTGGCTTCCTGAAAATTGAGAAGAAAAAGCATTCCAGACGTCAGCAGAAGCTCATCTGAAAGCGCCGCGCGATGATGTGGTGACCACCGTCTTTGTTTCACGGCCAGCCAAAGCCCGCCTTTGCTGCTGCTGCTGCGAGGATGATGATTGGAGAGTTTGCGTGATGCTGGTACATGCTCCTCGACAACTCTGCCGTGACTTGCACCCAGGGCAGAACCGTCGGCCTACGTGCACCCCAGCTGCGCCTCACCGCCGGGGCCCTCTTCAGGTTCCTGCTTCACACTCAACGGCGAGATGGACAAAGCTTGACCTCCGCTTTCCAGCTTCACGCCCGCGAGCGTCTCACAGCCGGCGCCTTCCTCGGCTTCCTGCTTCACGAGCGACCACGAGAGGCCAGGATCCTCGCCGCAGGGTTCCACCTTCACGCCCGGCCACAGCCCGCAGCCAGAGCTCCCCTCCCACTCCTGCTTGACGACCACCGAGGAGACGGAAGCGTCTTCGGCTCCGCTTTCCACCTTAACCGCCGGGCGCGCCTCAATGGTGGCGTCTTCTCGACGTCATTCCCCTTCTTCTTTCTCCTTTTCTTCTTCCTCCTCCAGTGCTGAAGGGGTCGCCGCCGGGCTCTCGACTTTGGGAATCACCTCGATCTCCCTGGGACGATTCACTCCTTCTGCCCGCCGCGGCTCCTCTGAACCGGCGAGCGTCGTCCCCCGCTCGCACGGCGGTGGCGGCACGGTGCCGGCGTCGCAACCGCGGCGGCGAAGGCAGCGCTGGCTGCGCATCTGCCTCGCGTGCACATGGAGCGTCCCCGACTCCGCGAAGGCCTTCCCGGACGTGGTGCACGCGTACGGCCTCTCCCCCATGTGCGTCCGCTTGTGAATGTGAAAGCCCCCCGGGTGCGTGAACGCCTTACCGCACACGTCGCACCTGTACAGATTCTCGCCCGTGTGGATCCTCGTGTGCGTCGAGAGGGTTGCCGGGTGGGCGAAGGCCTTGCCGCAGGTGGCGCAGCGGAAGGGCTTCTCGCCCGTGTGGGTCCTGCGGTGGCTGCGCAGGTAGTCCGACCGCGTGAAATTCTTCCCGCACGCCGTGCACCGGTAGGGCCTCTCGCCCGTGTGGATTATCTGGTGGCTGCCGAAGTGGTCGACGTGGGCGCAGTCTATGCTGCAGTCGCCACAGCGGTACGGCTTCTCGCCCGCGTGCACCCTCTGGAGAGCTTCCAGCTGGGCGAAGGCCTTCTTGCACACGGGGCACCGGTGTGGCCTTCGTGGAGGCGCTGGTGGGCACGGAAGACCTCCGGCTCGGTGAACTCGTCCCCGCACGTGCGGCACTTGTAGTGCTTCTCGCTGACGTGCGTCTTCTGGTGGCTGATGAGGTCGAAGGGCTTGTCGGTCCTGTATGGGCACAGGGTGCACTGGTACAAGATGGGCTCGGTGCACCCTCCGTGCCGCTTCATGTGGTCCTCTAGGGCCTGCGGGCTGACCACCACCCAGTTGCACACCGGGCAGCAGATCCTTGTCCCCTCCGCTTCCACACTGGCGCTCATTTCGTCCTCAAGTTTGGCACTGGCGGTGGGCGATCGGCAGTAGGCAAAGAGCAAGGAAACGAGAAGGAAAATTAATCCCACCCCCCCCCCCCCCTTAGCGTCTTGAATAATCCTGTTCCCCTTCCGATGACGTACACGAAAGAAAAAATTAAAATAACTTTATCGGTGAGGCCTCCACAAAGCCATGCGGGGGAGGGCCGTGTTGGCGCCGGCTATCGTAGAGTGTGCCGGTTGTGTCGCTACGCTTCTCTGCGGGGAGTAACTTCATCTTTAAAAACAGCGGCACTACGACTACGCCTCTCTCTATAAAATTTAGGCTGAGCCGCTTGCACGTTCAGCGAGGTGAACGGGACACCCACCCTGCAACATGCAGACGTCTCAGAACGGGAAAGGGTTAAAATAATCTCAATGAAGTGCAAAAACGCACTGATTTATGCCCTCCTGCTTTACCAACTTTCGCCATAACGTACTCAGCTTCTTCTATGTACCCACATATGTTGAACTTTTTTTCCACCGCACATTGCTAGCTGCACTAATCGGAGGTGTGGAGGAAAGGAGAACAATCTATACGATTTAAAATTGCATAGCTCCAGTGGCTTCCAACTTTCGCCATAACGTACTCAGCTTCTTCTATGTACCCACATATGTTGAACTTTTTTTCCACCGCACATTGCTAGCTGCACTAATCGGAGGTGTGGAGGAAAGGAGAACAATCTATACGATTTAAAATTGCATAGCTCCAGTGGCTTCCTAAAAATTTAAGAGTGTTCCAGACGGCCGCAGAAGTGCACCTGAAAGTGAGCGATGCGGTGGCCGTTTTTGTTCGATGGTTAGCCAGAAGCCACTGCTGCTGGGAGGATGACCAGAGTTTGCGTGATGGTTTAGGCTCCTTAATGAGATCGGTGGAGTTTTGTGGTTCATTTGTGACAAGCACTTAGTGTGTAATGAGTGCGACCTTAAGTAATGTAATGGTGGCGATGATGATGGTGGTGATGATGGTGGTGATGATGGTGGTGATGGTGGTGGTGATGGTAGTGATGATGGTGACCACTGGACAGGTTTCACAGGATTGGAAGAATGATCTGGTGGTCCCCCTCGTTAAGAAGGGGGACCGCACAGACTATAACAACTACAGGAGCATCTCCCTCCTGAGTGTGCTGGGAAACGTCAACATTGCCTTGTCGGGCACGCTGAGGAGAGGCTTGCGGAGCCCCAATGTGGTTTCAGGAAAGGGCAGTTCCGCACAGATGTTATATTTTCTGTCCATCTGCTACAGCAGAGGTGTAGGGATTCCAACAAGACCTACATCTCTGATTTATTACACCTGGTCAAGGTCTATGACACCATCAGTAGGCCTGGGCTCTGGGTTGTTCTTCGTGCTTTCAGAGTACCTGGCCCTCTGCTCACGCTCATTAAGGACCTTAATGATGGTGGGCAGGCCTGGGTAAAACTACGTGGCCGGGAGTCAGAGCCATTCCCTGTTCACGTTGGGGTGCAAAAGGGATGTCTTCTGGCTCCCTCATTATTTAACAACTATTTCGACCACGTAGTTCGTGAAACCTTCGGTGGATGTACCGGGGGAATTTCCATCTGGTACAGATACAATGGGAGGCTGATTGATGCCCATGTGCGGTCAAGGGATGGCTCCCTATTATTCAACCGCGTTATGTATGCTGATCTGGTGATTGCTGCTCACTCAAAGGAGGAGTTGGAGACGCTGCTGCTGAGACTGGAGCGTGCCACTAAGAGGTGGGGCCTTACCATCAGCCCCACCAAAACTAAGCACCTGCCTGGGTATTTTGTACCATCGGACGCTCCACCCCCACAACTCCAAATCGGTGATGGGGCAGTTGAGGAGAGAGTGGAGAGTTTTCCATACCTGGGCAGTGGTCTCACTCCGAATCAGTCGAGCGGCATTATTTTTACCATCGGCTGTGTAACGCTGTGCGGAAGTTTCCTTGGTCTATTGCTCCACACAAAGCTTCGGGTCTTCTAGGCCACGGCCTCTCTCCCAGGTCTCTCTCTCACAGTCTCCCACAGTATCTCTCCCACGGTCTCTCACCCACAGCCTCTCACCCACAGTCAGTCTCCCACAGTCAGTCTCCCACAGTCAGTCTCCCACGGTCTCTCTCCCACGGTCTCTCACCCACAGTCTCTCTCCCACGGTCTCTCTCTCACAGTCTCCCACAGTCTCTCTCTCACAGTCTCTCTCCCACAGTCTCTCTCACAGTCTCCCTCTCAGTCTCTCTCTCACAGTCTCTCTCACAATCTCTCTCACGGTCTCTCACCCACTGTCTCTCACCCACAGTCTCTCTCTCACAGTCTCTCTCCCACAGTCTCCCACCCACGATCTCTCCCACAGTCTCTCACCCACGGTCTCTCACCCACAGTCTCTCTCTCAGTCTCTCTCCCAGTCTCTCTCTCACAGTCTCTCTCTCTCAGTCTCTCTCCCACAGTCTCTCTCTCAGTCTCTCTCCCACAGTCTCTCTCTCACAGTCTCTCACCCACAGTCCCTCACCCACAGTCTCTCACCCACGGTCTCTCTCTCACAGTCTCTCTCCCAGTCTCTCACGCACGGTTTCTCTCCCACGGTCTCTCTCCCACAGTCTCTCACCCGCTGTCTCTCACCCACAGTCTCTCTCTCACAGTCTCTCTCACAGTCTCTCTCCCACAGTCTCTCTCTCACAGTCTCTCACCCACGGTCTCTCTCACAGTCTCTCTCCCACAGTCTCTCTCTCACAGTCTCTCACCCACAGTCTCTCTCCCACGGTCTCCCTCCCACGGTCCCTCACCCACAGTGTCTCTCCCACGGTCTCTCACCCACAGTCTCTCTCTCACAGTCTCTCTCTCACAGTCTCTCTCCCACGGTCTCTCTCCCACAGTCTCTCTCCCACAGTCTCTCTCTCACGGTCTCTCACCCACAGTCTCTCTCTCACAGTCTCTCTCCCACAGTCTCTCACCCACAGTCTCTCTCCCACAGTCTCTCTCACAGTCTCCCACCCACGATCTCTCCCACAGTCTCTCACCCACGGTCTCTCACCCACAGTCTCTCACCCACAGTCTCTCTCTCAGTCTCTCTCCCAGTCTCTCTCTCACAGTCTCTCTCTCACGGTCTCTCTCCCACAGTCTCTCACCCACAGTCTCTCTCCCACAGTCTCTCACCCACAGTGTCTCTCTCAGTCTCTCTCCCACAGTCTCTCTCTCACAGTCTCTCACCCACAGTCTCTCACCCACAGTCTCTCACCCACGGTCTCTCTCTCACAGTCTCTCTCCCAGTCTCTCACGCACGGTTTCTCTCCCACGGTCTCTCTCCCACAGTCTCTCACCCACTGTCTCTCACCCACAGTCTCTCTCTCACAGTCTCTCTCTCACAGTCTCTCTCCCACAGTCTCTCTCTCACAGTCTCTCACCCACGGTCTCTCTCACAGTCTCTCTCCCACAGTCTCTCTCTCACAGTCTCTCACCCACGGTCTCTCACCCACAGTGTCTCTCCCACGGTCTCTCTCCCACAGTGTCTCTCCCACGGTCTCTCACCCACAGTGTCTCTCCCACGGTCTCTCACCCACAGTCTCTCTCTCACAGTCTCTCTCTCACAGTCTCTCTCCCACGGTCTCTCTCCCACAGTCTCTCTCCCACAGTCTCTCTCTCACGGTCTCTCACCCACAGTCTCCCTCTCACAGTCTCTCTCCCACAGTCTCTCACCCACAGTCTCTCTCCCACAGTCTCTCTCCCACAGTCTCTCACCCACAGTCTCTCTCCCACAGTCTCTCTCTCACAGTCTCTCTCCCACAGTCTCTCTCCCACAGTCTCTCACCCACGGTCTCTCACCCACAGTCTCTCACCCACAGTCTCTCACCCACAGTCTCTCACCCACGGTCTCTCTCCCACGGTCTCTCAGCCACAGTCTCTCACCCAAAGTCTCTCACCCACTGTCTCTCACCCACAGTCTCTCTCTCAGTCTCTCTCCCACAGTGTCTCACCCACGGTCTCTCTCCCACAGTCTCTCTCACAGTCTCTCTCCCACAGTCTCTCTCACAGTCTCCCACGGTCTCTCTCCCACGGTCTCTCTCTCCCAGAGTCTCTCTCTCAGTCTCTCTCCCACGGTCTCTCACCCACGGTCTCTCTCCCACTGTCTCTCTCACAGTCTCTCTCCCACAGTCTCTCTCTCAGTCTCTCTCCCACAGAGTCTCACCCACAGTCTCTCACCCACAGTCTCTCACCCACAGTCTCTCTCCCACAGTCTCACCCACGGTCTCCGGGTCGCTCCTCGCCCTCCGCTCCCTCTTGGTCGGCTTCCTTCCGTCGCGTGCGAATGACGTCGGTCGAGCAAGCAACGCCGGCGTGACGTCACGACCGGTTGGGGTGATGACATCACGACCGGTGGAGGACGAAGTGACGTGCCTTCACGATCGGCGGGGGTGGGACGAAAACGTGACGTCACGACTGGTGGGGTGGGGGCGAAGAGACATGACGTCAAAGGGCAACGAAGGGCGTGACGTCTGCAAAAGTGAGACGTGACGTCGTGCGATACGGGAGACAATTTCGGTGGCCGGACAGATGCCAGGGCCCCGCCTTTCACCTCCCTAACACTGCCCATAGACTCAACACTAACCATAGACTCAATACTTTCCCATAGACTCAACACTACCCATAAACTCAACACTACCCATAGACTCAACACTGCACCATAGACTCAACACTGCACCATAGACTCAACACTGCACCATAGACTCAACACTGCACCATAGACTCAACACTGTACCATAGACTCAACACTGCACCATAGACTCAACACTGCACCATAGACTCAACACTACCCATAGACTCAACACTGCACCATAGACTCAATACTGCACCATAGACTCAACACTGCACCATAGACTCAACACTGCACCATAGACTCAACACTGTACCATAGACTCAACACTGCACCATACTCAACACTGCACCATAGACTCAACACTAACCATAGACTCAATACTTTCCCATAGACTCAACACTAACCATAGACTCAATACTTTCCCATAGACTCAACACTTTCCCATAGACTCAACACTGCACCGTAGACTCAACACTGCCCATAGACTCAGCACTGCCCCATAGACTCAGCACTTTCCCATAGACTCAACACTACCCATAGACTCAACACTGCACCATAGACTCAACACTGTCCATACAGTAGACTCAACACTTTCCATTGACTCAACACTACCCACAGACTCAACACTATCCCCTAGACTCAACACTACCCATAGACTCAACACTTCACTATACACTCAACACTACACATAGACTCAACACTGTCCATACAGTAGACTCAACACTGTCCGTAGACTCAACACTTAACATTGACTCAACACTACCCACAGACTCTACACTGCCCATAGAATCAACACTACCCATAGACTCAACACTGCACCATACACTCAACACTACACAGACTAAACACTGTCCATACAGTAGACTCAACACTGTCCGTAGACTAAACACTTCCCATTGACTCAACACTACCCATAGACTCTATACTACCCATAGACTCAACACTACCCATAGACTCAACACTACCCATAGACTCAACACTACCCATAGACTCAACACTACCCATTGCCTCAACACTGCCCATAGAATCAACACTGCACCATACACTCAACACTGTCCATACAGTAGACTCAACACTTTCCATTGACTCAACACTACCCACAGACTCAACACTATCCTCTAGACTCAACACTACCCATAGACTCAACACTGCACCATACACTCAACACTACACATACACTCAACACTGTCCGTACAGTAGACTCAACATTTTACATTGACTCAACACTACCCATAGACTCAATACTGCACCATACACTCGACACTACACAGACTCAACACTGTCCATACAGTAGACTCAACACTGTCCGTAGGCTCAACACTTTCCATTGACTCAACACTACCCACAGACTCTACACTGCCCATAGAATCAACACTACCCATAGCCTCAACACTGCCCATAGACTCAACACTGCGCCATAGCCTCAACACTGCTTAGGCTTACTCATTCACCCACTCACCTATTCTCCTGTCCAATCTCAGTAGAGTAGTGGTTCTTAACCTGGGACGCACGCACCCCCTGGGTGTGCGAGATTCCCTTTGTTGGGGGTGTGCGAGAAATGGACAGATTTTTTTTTAAAGGTAAATCTTAAACACAAATTAAGCATGGGCACGTAAGTACACAACTTGTTTAATCAAGCCCTGCGTATTTAGGGGCCGTCCATAAATGACGTCACGCGATTTTGAACCCCCCCCCCTCGTCACACGGCGTCACAAAGTCAGACCCCCCCCCTTAAATATGACGTCACAAAGCTCTGCCGCCCCCCCCCCCCAAATAAAACATGCTTCAAATCGCTTTAAACAATTGTCATTGTAGTGCGTATTTAATGTGGCGCTGCACTCTGATGTACGAGAAAACATTTATTAAAAAGTCTGTTTAATTAAATAGAACGTGTTGTCTATATGTATTTAAAGTTGCGCATTTCTCAACCCCCCCCCCCCCACCCTCGTCACACATCGTCACAAATGTCTGATCCCTCCCCTAGGTGAGTGACGTCATTTATGGACGGCCCGTTATACATTTTTTGTAAGGATTGAGAACCAACGGGGTGCAAGGCTGCAGTGAAAGTTAGGAACCATCGCTCAAGAGTGGTTTACCGAAGTTTAAATTCCGTTGCACGTTATCCATCCTTGCCTGATGCGTCGCCCACACGTCCAGATCGGCAAAGGGCCCGAAAAGGTGTTCCTTTCAAATCTGTTTTGGCGTCTCCTCCACCGTTGGGTGACATGGTGTCGAGATGTTAACTACCTCGCCTGGTATACAGGAGGTCGTGGGTTCAATCCCAGCTCTGACACGGCCTGCTGTATATTTGGACTTTGCACGTGTCTCTCTCCCCGTGGTTCGCGTGGATGATTTTTCTCCGGGTCCTCCGGTTTCCCCCTGTCCCCCCAACCCCGACATTTAGAATCAACATCACCAGGCGTTTAGAGAGCATGTGGCTGCTGCTATAAGTGTCCACGTGATGATAGGCCGCTTCGTTGAGGTATCATTTGTGATGGCCAGGTCGCTTATGAAAAAGAGATACGTGACTCAGTGAAGGGCCTTACCTGGTAAAATAAAACAAAGACTACGTAGTTTTCACTTCACGTGTATCTGTTCTCAGAACAAAAAATATTGCCTCCATGTTGTGTACCTTCACAGTCGTGCAAACACGCTCGCGCTTTCGAACGGCCGATGTATCGCGCGGCATTTTCTCAACATTTCTCTCTCTCGGTCATGTTGTATATATTGTTTTGAAAAAAGAAATTTTTTTTTAAAAAAAACACGTCATTCCAAGAAATTATGCAAATTTAAGAAATTATGCAAATGTATGCAATTAACGTAAATTAGGCTCGGCTTCGTTGTCTAGCGGTGTATTACCAATCGTGATAATACAATGATTCTCGCTTTAACTTTTACTGATTATGTTTTAGTGTAATTATTTCCAGTCTAGGGACTCATCTCGCCGCAGGATACAGTTCTTATAATTAAAATTCTTATGCATGAACTTAGGAAGGAACCACTCCGAATCTTCTGTGTTAAGCAACTTTAATATCTAAAAACACTCTAATTTGCTAACACACTTATGATCGGGATTGCCACAGCAGTACTTCTGTAGATGTCCTACTCATCGATCTGTCCAATTTACCCTCAATGTTTACGTTGTTAGACTGTGCAATATAACAATAGGCTAACTCCTCATAGTAAAGTGACAATACACGATAGGAAAGTACTTAAAAGTGACAATATTCATATGGAAACGTGCTAAAGAAACACGTGCCCAATGGCAAAAGGGGGCATCAACCAATTAATTGGCAAGATTATGCAATTAAAGAAATATAATCATTGGACCTCCTTTGCCAGTACCAAAATATGAGAATAGGTCTTCCCCCTTTTTTCTGGCAACAAAACAGCTGTGTTCAGATGTTAAAACACCAAACTGAAACCTTTTACGGGGAATCATGTTACTGCATTAATCACAAATACTTGTGGTCAGAATGCAAACAAAAAAATACTCTGATAACATATGCATTGTCTTTGAAAGTGATTGGTCCACACCAGAGACACCGTTTGAGACTAGGCTCAAAAGAAAGCTGTCTCTAGTCATGCGGTTCAAGGGACAGAACAATGCTTTTCACGGCTAGCTAATAGTTAACACCACCTTGGGATGGCAACCCTTTTTGAAACAAAACTTCCCACGCAGACCTCACCATCCGTTCCCAAAGCAGAGACTCGGCCTCCCGTGTGCCACCTTCACCCCAGCCGCGTCTCACAGCCGGGGCTTTCTTCCCGTTCCTGCTTCACGATCGAGAGGGGAACTGAAGAATCCTCCCCCCCCAGTTCTACCTTCACCCCTGGCCACGTCTCGACGCCGGCGATCCCTCCACGCTCCCGTTTCACGATCGGTAGGGAGACGGAAGGATCTTCACCGTCGCATTCCACCTTCACCCCCGGCCACGTCGTGAAGCTGAGGGTCTCTCCGTGTTCTGATGTCAGCGACGCCGAGGGGGTCGCTGAGGGGGTCGCCGAGGGGGTCACCGCGGGACCCTCGCCCCCGAGGCTCGCCACGACCTCCCCAGCGGCAGTCACGCCCTCGTGACGCCCAGCCCTCCCGCGGGCGCGGCGGCGGAGGAGGGGGGGACGAGCCGGCGGCGTCAACGCGCTCGAACCTGTGTTGGCCTGCTGGCGCGCCCGGAGACTCCCCGACCCGGAGGAGGCCTTCCCGCGCGTGGGGCACTCGAAGGGCCTCCCGCCCGCGTGCGTCCTCTTGTGCACGTGGAGGGTGCCCAAGTGCGTGAACGAGCTGCCGCACACGTCGCACGCGTACGGCCTCTCGCCCGTGTGGGTGCGCTTGTGGATGCCCAGGGTGCCCGACTGGGCGAAGGACTTGCCGCACGTGGCGCACCTGTAGGGCCTCTCGCCCGTGTGGGTCCTCGCGTGTATGACGAGGCCCCTCGACTGGGCGAATCGCTTCCCACACGCCGCGCACCCGTAGGGCTTCTCTTCCGCGTGGGTCTTCTCGTGGTTGAAGAGCGTCCCCGACTGCTTGAATGCCTTGCCACACGTGGCGCACCTGTACGGCTTTTTGCCCGTGTGGACCCGCTTGTGGGCGACGAGGACGGCCGAGTGAGTGAACGTCTTGCCGCACACGGTGCACGCGTACGGCTTCTTGCTTGTGTGGATCCTCTGGTGGTTGAGGAGGTGGTGCGACTGAGTGAAGTCCTCTCCGCAGACGTTGCAGCGGTAGGGCCTCTCGTCTGCGCGGATCCTCCCGTCCGGTGAGACGTCTGCTGGTGATGGGGCGAACGCCTTCCCGCGTCGCGCCCGCTTCATGTGCACGCTCTGATGGGAGCAGAAGTCTCCCGAATTCGCGAAAACTTCATCGCACACCCAGCACTTGTAGGGCTTCTCGTCGGCGTGGCTCCTCTGGTGGCCGATCAGCGTGGCCGCTTTGTCCGTGCTGTACGGGCAGTGGGGGCACTGGTACAGCACGGACTCGGTCCGGCGCCTGTGCTGCTTCATGTGGTCCTCCAGGGCGGGCAGGCTGATCACCACCCAGTTGCAGATCGGGCAGTAGATCTTCATCTCTCCTCCCTCGTTCATCGTTGCCGTCCTGGCACTGGGGCAAAGAGTGAGGCACATGAAGGAAAATGAATCTCCCCCGCCCCACTCCGTCCCTGTGAAGTATCGCAAACAAGGCATGAAGCTAGAAACCACGGACACCGGTTGCTAACTGTAGAACAAAGGCAGTGGTCACCGCTGCGTCGCATGGCGCTTTCAGATGCTGCTGCTGCTTGTGGCGGACGTCTGGAACGCTCTTCCTCTCCGGTATGAGGAAGCCACTGGGAGCTACGATGCACTTTTAAATCATCACCAAGATTGACAAACTCATTTCTTTAGAACTGCGGTTGGCTACTGTTCTGTTGTTATTTTTGCTGCCTTGCCCAATCTTGATAAATCGGACTTAAACTCATATCGTGTGTTTGTGTGTATCGTGTTTGTGTGTATCGTGTGTGTGTGTATCGTGTGTTTGCCGTTGTATATCGCGGACTCCCCGTGCCCATACTGGACATTTGTAGAAAAGAGCTTCATAGCTCATCGGATTGCTCCTGCCATCTGAATAAACATTCTGATTCTGACTGAGATGATTGGCAGATGCACCACCTGTGCCCCCTTACTGTGCTAACTTGCTGTGTTTTAGTTGCCCGGCGCTCTGCTCGTTGTTGTGAGCATCGCTCCTCTGCCCTACATTGTTGCTGGAGGGTGACTGCCTCCAACTGCCCAGTAGCAGCGTCCTTCACGAGCCTCCTCCTCCACAGACCTTGACACCGCTGGCAAGTTCATTCAGCTCCACATCCTCCCGTACCGCATCAGTGCCATCTCATCTCCAGCCCGTACCGCGCCCGTTTAGCCCCCCTCTATCTGGCCAAAGAGAAGCTGCTTGGGTGTGCGGTGGCTGGGCATGCGGGCTACATGACCCAGTCAACACAGCCTTGGAGGAGCTCGCCAATGATAGGGACCCTGTCCAGATCTTTGTGAGCGCCTCGCACTGCGATTCAGCCTGCAGGTTAAACTCACGATGGATCTTAGGCAGGGCCGGCCTGCAAGTTGCAAACCGGCGCAGACACAACAACAACAACAACAGCCGCCATTCACCACAAAGTGGCGGTGACATCACCACGGCGCCTGTGCCAGGCTAGGTGCACTTTGAGCCCGTCACGTGAAGTGTCGAGGGCTCGCTGCTGGCAGGAGGTCACAGGACAGAGACGCAGACAGTAAAATTAAACCGGGGGGGGGGTGGTCAGACATTTGTGACGATGTGTGACGAGGGGGAAAGGGGGGATGTTTGAGAAATGTGACGTCACATCAAAATGCGCAACTTTAAATAAATAGAATTGTTATAACACTAATTTTTATTAATTTTCATTATTAACTATTTGATTATTTAAATCTAAGGTCACCTTTTATTTAATCCATGGAGGAGCATTTTGCTTCTCCACGGGAGAATGGAGAAGCATACATTTTGTACATTTTTTAATGATTATTATTAAACATTTGGATTTTAATTATTCTACCAGGGCTTTTCATTCTGTGGAATGAATATGATTGTTATAATTGTACTCTCCATTTTGCTTCGTTCTACTACAAAGTTTCAAGTATTTTTTTATAGTTATAATTACTTTTACTGGTAGGAACGAAGTTGTAAACTGAGTGTACCAGCCTGCAATAGATTAATGTGTCCGTCCGTCCGTCCCCTTTCAATACTTTAACGAAGTGAAATCTCGTGCTGTTGGGGTGTAAAATCAGCAATAGACAGCGCAGAGACTTGATATGTCTTATACTGGTAGGTATGAAGTTGTAAACTGAGTGTACCAGCCTGCAATAGATTAATGTGTCCGTCCGTCCGTCCCCTTTCAATACTTTAACGAAGTGAAATCTCGTGCTGTTGGGTGTATAAAATCAGCAATAGACAGCGCAGAGACTTGTCCTACCAGCCCACCCTGCAGGGACCTGTTAATATTTTATAATCATAAGAGAATTTCAATATAATATTCTGAACATCTGCAGTTTTAGTTAGACATTGAATATTTTCAAGTAAATTTTATGCTAAATTTCATCTTTCCAACACCTCCTTTTTAATGTTTTCTCCTACATCAGAGTGCAGCACCACATTAAATACGCCCTACAATGACAATAGTTTAAAGTGATTTGAAGTATGTTTCATTTTTAAAATGGAAATGTTTTATTTGGGGGCGGGGGGGGGGTAGAGCTTTGTGACGTCATATTTGAATGGGGTCTGACTTTTTGTGACGCCATGTGACGAGCGGGCGGAGTCAAAAATCGGACAAAATCGCGTGACGTCATTAATGGACTGCCCCTAAAAATTAAATTAAAGAAAGCAAAAAACCCACGACGTTTCGACCGCTTGTGTTTTTATTATTTAAAATTTTATTAGATTTTTATTTTCTATCTACCGAAAGAACCAAAGAATATTCCTCGTGTAGCCTTACCAGACTGTTGGGGCAAGTGCTGTTAGCGAGCACCTACGAAGGCCAGAACGGCACACGGGGGGGGGGTGGGTGGCCAGCACCACGCCCGGCCGCCTTTGTCTCACCCCCAGTGGCGATGTTGAACTTCACACCGCTACACCAGGCGCACAACCACGCAGAGACACGGAGGCCCTGACTCTCTCTCTGTGCGTGACGTCACCAACCCCGTCCGTGCCTGACGTCACTCACGGCGTCCAAAGGCCACCCAAGCCCCCCCCCCCCCCGGGACGGTGGTAACATGACGCCCCGCACACAGGCGCGATTGACGACACGACGTCAAGCGGGCGCGCGTCTAACAGGGGTGGTGATAGTGTAGGATGACGTCACGAAGGGGGCTGGATGCGAGTGACGTCACCAATACAAAGATAAAGATCCCCTCCCCCACCCGTGTAGCCTGCGACAGACTGCCGGGGCAAGTGCTGTTAGCGAGTCGCAGCCACCGATGAAGGCCGCCACGAGGGGGGGTGGGTGGCCAGCAACCACGCACGGCCGCCTTTGTCTCCCCCCGCAGTGGGCAAACATTTACACACCGCCACGCCAGGTAGGACTCATTTGAGGCTGAGTCGACCTAGGGGAGAGGCCCGGGACCGGTTCAAGTTAATCGCCGTCACCCGCGAGCGAGATTCGAACCCTGAGCGACGGTGACGTCACCGCGGAACCCGTGCCAGGCCAGGTGCACTTCGAGCCGATACACGACGTCTCAATGTTGTCCCACGTCGATGAAAATGTTTGAAAAACTATTGAACTACCAAATTAGCAGTTTCCTGTCCGACAACAATCTCTTACATCGAAACCAATCTGGGTTCCGAAAAAAATTACAGCACCACATCTGCTGCATTAGACTCTCTGAATCACATTTACACTAGCCTTGGTAATGTAGTGGAGTATGAAGGTGTGTTGTGGAAACTGCGCGATCGCATGATCACACGGACAGTGTGGGTTATCTTGGGTCAGCCTGTGGAGAAGGTGAGAACAGTGTGGGTCGTGTTAGGACAGCCAGTTGCAAAGGCTGGGATGGTGAGGTAACGTCGGGCCAATTAAGCCAGAAGATCAGCAACGGCTGTGATTGGTTGGTACTGTTGCCGGGGCTGGAGAGGCGTCGAGAAGTCTGGCGAGAAACAGGTGCGATGGTCACGCGGAGCGCTGGTTGAGACGCGGGTTAATTGGGGGGTGTAATTAGAGCGGGTATAAGAGCGGGAGTCGGGAGTCAACAGAGGGGAGGTGGTTGAATGGTGAAGAGCTTGGAGATGGGTTGAAGTTGAAGAGCTTAGGGGAGCTGGAGTGAGGAGTTGGAGTTGGGAGCTGGACGAGGCAAGATGGAGAGTTCGGAGACAGAGTGGGAAACAGAGTTTGGAGACAGAGTTGGAACAGAGTGTGGAGCGAAGCTGAAGCAAGACGAAGTAGTTAGCGGTGGAGTGAGCGTAGCGGAGCTGAACCAAGACGAAGTAGTTAGCGGTGGAGTGAGCGTAGCGATAGCGAAGCTGAACCAAGGCGAAGTAGTTAGCGGTGGAGTGAGCGTAGCGATAGCGAAGCTGAACCAAGGCGAAGTAGTTAGCGGTGGAGTGAGGGTATGGATAGCGGAGCTGAAGATGCTGTGTGCGGAGTCGCTGTGTGCGAGGACGCTGTGTGCGGAGGAGCTGAAGAGAATAGCCAGCAGTGGAGTGAGCGTAGCGATAGCGGAGCTGAAGACGCTGTGTGCGAAGTCGCTGTGTGTGGAGTTGCGAGCGAGACGAGTGAAGCACGGCGAGCGAGCCGTGGCGACCAGGATACTTTGGAGTGTGGAGGAAATGCTGAATGCTGTAAATAAAGCGGTGTTCGAAGAAAGACAGAAGCTGTCCGCGTAAAGTCGAACACTACAGTAATAAGCAGCACCGAGCCAGTCTTTTTCTCGACTTGTCCAAAGCCTTTGATACAGTCGACCACAGCACCCTACTCTTTGGATCTTTCGGTAGTCGCGTAGGTAGAAATACAAATTTTCATCAGGTGGGACAACCGCACGCAGTAGAATGGTTAAAAATTACCTCTCTTCTGGCACCCAAACTGTATTCATAGTTGGTTGGAGGCAAGGCCGTAGCCATGGAGTCAACATTGGGGGGGCACCAAATCTTCCAGGAATGGACTTTTTAGTTATTTTTTTACAATAATATCTAATAGTGTATTGTATTACATTGCTGTTTTTTCGATTTTACCTTTTCTTGTTTCATTGCATGTAATGCCAGAGATATCAAGTACTACCATAACCACAATCGTATAAACATAAATCTATGCATTGTTATATGAAGGCAAGTCCAGATATTGTGGGCAAGGTTTAGCAAATTGTTGTTTGTATTTACATAGCATCGCAATTATTATTTTTTAAAATATTTTTTATAGAAATATATTGGGGGGGGGGGGGACATTTTGAGCATATTTGATTATTGGGGGGGGGGATATGTCCCCTAGTTATAATATATATTGGGAGGGGATATGTCCCCCCCCAATATATATTATAACTAGCTGTACTACCCGGCTTCGCCCGGGACTTGGATCCACCACGCCCGGCCGCCTTTGCCTCCCCAGTGGCGATGTTCACACACCACAGCAGTCACTCGTTTGAGGCTTTGTCGACCTAGGGGAGGCCCAGGACCAGTCAAAATAATCGCCACCGGTGGTGGCCATGCGCGGGAATCGAACTCGGGTCGCCGAGTTGGTAGCGCGGCGCGCTAACCACTACACTACAATGCGTTAGGCTTCCACAGGCGCGGGTCACGTGACAGATTTGACATCACAGCTCACTTGCCGTGCAAAAAATATATGCATTATTGAGCTCCCCCCCACCAGAAAAAAAACACAAAAGTCTACTTTTTATCATTTTTGCATGGTGTACAGTCTGGAAAGTACCCACATGGCAAATTTCAAGTTTGTTGCATGTCAGGAAGTACGCTAAACATTTTGAACAGACACACAATCACAACTTTGCCTTTTATATATATGGAGATTACGGCCTTGGTTGGAGGTCAAACAGTGTTAAGATAACAAAAGGGGTTCCACAGGGTTCCATCCTCGGCCCCCTCTTGTTCTCTCTTATGTCAATGACTTGGGCACTGACCTGGATCATTCCATGGTAAATCTGTTTGCAGATGACACGATACTGATTACTGCTGGCCGCTGTCCGGATGACGTGATTTCTAAGCTCCAGGGTGATTTCAACAAACCACAACATCAGCTAGTTGCTCTTAAACTAGTCCTGAATACCTCCAAAACCAAGGTGCTATGCTTCTCACCAGCACTAAAGCAGGAAGTTATTTTTCCCCAATTATATTCCTTAAATAATCATCAAATAGAGCAAGTCAAGATCTATACGTATATTGGGGTCATCTTTGATTCAAAGCTGAATTTTCAAGATCACGTTGATTATATTGGTAAAAAGACAAAATAAAAAAATTCGTTTTCTGTATCGACACAAGCACTGCTTCCCCCCTATGTTCCGCTTGGAATTGATAAAAACTACCGTGCTGCCTCTACTTGATTACTGTGACATCGTACAACACATTCCTGCGGAGGGAGCTGGTAGGAACGTTGGGTTGCTCGGTCAATGGTCAGGGTCAACGGCGACGTGGTGTATTCCGCAAATGTGCCCCACTGTGAGGGCGGGCACAAGCCGGCGTGAGTAGGTTAAACGTTGAGTTTTATAAGGGCACCACGGGGTGACCAGCCCCTCCCCACGCCTCCCACCCCCCCACCCAGCCCCACCCTCCCTAACCAGCCCCTCCCCACCCTCCCCACCCAGCCCTCCCCACCCTCCCTTCCCCACCCAGCCCCTCCCCACTCTCCCCACCCAGCCCCTCCCTCCCCTCCCCACCCAGCCCCACCCTCCCCACCCAGCCCCTCCCCACCCTCCCCTCCCCACCCAGCCCCTCCCCACCCTCCCCTCTCTACCCAGCCCCACCCTCCCCACCCAGCCCCTCCCCACCCTCCCTTCCCCACCCAGCCCCACCCTCCCCACCCAGCCCCTCCCTCCCCTCCCCACCCAGCCCCACCCTCCCCACCCAGCCCCTCTCCACCCTCCCCTCCCTCCCCACCCAGCCCCTCCCCACCCTCCCCTCTCTACCCAGCCCCACCCCTCCCATATTTGGATGCATGACGGACAGACGGTCACAATAATCCCCTGTGGGCTGGTGTAACCAGGAGGTTCCTACCAGTATAAATCAGCCCCCAGTACTATACTAAAGAAGCCTGAATCAATTTATCACTCGGCCTTAAGATTTACATTGAACTGCCCGTATAGGACCCACCACTGCGATCTCTAAATTGGGTCAAACTTAACTTATCTTAATGATCGACGGCTTGTGCATCAGATCTTATTTATTCACGATGTACTAACAAAAAAATCAGCAGACTACCTGCTGGGTCTCCTCACTGTTTCGAAGAACAAATGTGACCGAAGGTCGTCGCTCATTTACCAGCTTCACATTCCTTATTGCCGTACAAATACTGGGGGAAGGGCCTTTTATATTGATGCCCCCAGGGTCTGGAATGCTATTGCCAATAAACTGCAACGTGGATCGCTACCTGTGAGATCTTCACTCAAAACTGCTCTCGAGGAGTTGTACACCCCTAGCTGCCACTGCTATTCAGAATGGCCTGAAATCAAATGTATCGTTCAGGATGACCGCTGCAAAGTATGATCTTGAGTTTTGATTATGTGCTGATCTTTAAAGGTGTATTGAAATGTTTTGATTCTGTTGATACTCCTGCTGTTATGGAGTGACTCATGCAGCCAACGATGGCTGCAAAGTTTGGTCGTACATGTTATGTACATCGTTTATTGTTAAATTTGAATCACGGTTCCTATGATCACTGTTACATTGTTTTTATAGCTTTATTTTGGTGATTTTGAAAACGTTTTGGTTTAGCCATGTTTTTTGTTGTAGTACAGAGTTAGCCTGATAACTTTAATCTACTTTGTCTTGAGAACTTCCTTCCCTCAGCCAGGGCATTGAAAATGGGTCGTGGATGGGTATTCCAGCATGACAATGACCCAAAACACACGGCCAAGGCAACAAAGGAGTGGCTCAATAAGAAGCACATTAAGGTCCTGGAGTGGCCTAGCCAGTCTCCAGACCTCAATCCCATGGAAAATCTGTGGGGGGAGCTGAAGGTTCAAGTTGCCAAACGTCAGACTCGAAACCTTAATGACTTGGAGAAGATCTGCAAAGAGGAGTGGGATAAAATCCCTCCTGAGATGTGTGCAAACCTGGTGGCCAACTACAAGAAACATCTGACCTCTGTGATTGCCAACAAGGGTTGTGCCACCAAGTACTAAGTCATGTTTTGCAGAGGGGTCAAATACTTATTTCCCTCATTAAAATCAATTTATAACATTTTTGACATGCGTTTTTCTGGATTTTGTTGTTATTCTGTCTCTCACTGTTCAAATAAACCTACCATTAAAATTATAGACTGATCATTTCTTTGTCAGTGGGCAAACGTACAAAATCAGCAGGGGATCAAATACTTTTTTCCCTCACTTTAGGTAAGATTTACTTCATGGTATTTGTTACAGTCCAGTATTACATACAAATGTACGTTTCCTCTTAATTTATGAGGTGTTAACGTTGCATTACCCTTTTGTTGCGTTGAACCATAACACGTTTCACAACACCGACCGTGCGGTCATTGAAATATGGCGCCGTACACGACTTGCGAACCGTGCAACGTTACAAACGGGGGGGTGGGGGGTCAGATGGAGCTCGTGAAGGGGGTGGGCAGAGGGTTGACTCGGTGGAACCCGACGTGTCACGGACGTTCGTGCATGCGCCTCTTCCCCCCTATTGCGAGAAACCGGAAGGGAGCTCAGGCTGCAAGCTGTGGCCGGGCGTGAAGGTGGAACCCTGCGACGAAGATCCTGGCCTCTCACCCGGTCGCTCGCGAAGCAGCAAACCGAGGAAGGTGCCGGCTGTGAGACCCGCACGGGCATGAAAAACAAAACGCGGAGGTCGACATTTGTCCGTCTCCCCGTTGAGTGTGAAGTGAGGGGGGACGGGCATCTTGCGTGGAGTAGGACATTCTATCGATGGTCGAGCACGACCGAACGTGGCCACAATGCATTCCTCCCGCCCGCGAGACCGCGCCGTTCGTGAATTACCAATGGAGTCGACCGAGAAAAATAAAGTGGCAGCAAATCTGCTTGGCTGGACAAGCTGCAATCTCAACCGGCTCTGCCGCGAACTTCTGAACTTATTTAGTGTTCGTTGTTGTTTCCCTTCCCCCGAAGTGCGTGATGTCAAGCCCCCCCAAGGTGCACCACCAGTTACTCGTCCAATACACATACACTACCGTGACTTACTCAATTGATTGGTGTAAGCTCTCATGAGTCTAGACCAGTGGTTCTTCTTCTTAACCTGCGGTGCACACCTGGATGCGAGATGCCCTTTTTTGGGGGTAGCGAGACATGGCAGAATTTTTTTAGACGGGTAAATAATCGAAATATAGACTCAACACTGCACCATAGACTCAAGACTGCGCCATAGACTCAACACTGCCTACAGACTTAACGCTCATTCACCCACTCACCTATTCCCCTGTCCAATCTCAGTAGAGTAGTGGTTCTTAACCTGGGATCCACGCACCCCCTGGGGGTGTGAAATTCCCATTGTTGGGGGTGTGCCAGAAATGGGCAGATTTCTTTTTGGAAGGTAAATCATCAAAAAGACAATTTAAGCACGGCCAGGGAAGAAAACAACTTTGTTCCATTAAGCCCTGCATATTTATTAACTTCATACTTTTTTACGATTGAGAACCAACGGGGTGTAAGGCTGCAGTGAAAGTTAATAACCACCGCTCTCGAGTGTTTACCAAAGTTTAAAGTCCGTTGCACGTTATCCATCCTTGCCTGTTGCGTCGCCCACACCTCCAGATCGCCAAAGGTCCCAAAAAGGTGTTGTTTCAAAATATGGTTTGGTGTCTTCTCTGCCTTTGGGTGACATGGTGGTGAGATGTTAACTACCTCGTCTGGTATACAGGAGGTTGTGGGTTCAATCCCAGCTCTGACATGGCCTGCTGTATAGTTGGACTTTGCACGTGTCTCTCTCCCCGTGGTTCGCGTGGATTTGTCCCCGGGTCCTCCGGTTTCCACCACCTCCCCCCTCCCGACATTTAGAATGAACATCGCCAGGCGTTTAGAGAGCATGTGGCTGCGTATATTAGTGCCCACGTGATGATAGGCCGCTTCGTTGAGGTATCATTTGTGATGGCTAGGTCGCTTCTGTTAGACTGAGCAATAAAAAATAGGCTAACTATAATAATAGGGTTTCCCCCCTTTTTTCTGGCAAAACTGAAACCTTTTTTTACAAGGATTCATGTCTGCATTAACCACAATACTTGCAGTCAAAATGCAAACAAAAAAACACACTGATATATATGCATTGTCCTTGAAACTGATTGGTCCACACCAGACACAGCTTTCTTTAGAGCCTGGTCTCAATTGGTGCTAGACCAGATGACGCGAAAGAAACATGTGCCCAATGGCAAAAGTGGACATCAATGGATTCATTGGTAAGATTATGCAATTAAATAAATATCCTGAAACAATCGTGTACATGCGAGTGTGTATGTTTGGCTAACCGATGCTTATCAATTGACTAATGGGACATCAATGAATTCGCGGGCAAAATTCCATGATTAAAATAAATATCTCAAAACAATAGTATTCATGTGTGTAGATTCGTAACATAGATGCTTATAAATGTTTAGTGTGTCACCAATGAGTTCATTGGTAATATTATGTGATAAAAGAAAACTAACCACTAAAATTCTTCTAAATGACCATATTCATGCGTGTATTATCAGAGTATGTTTTTTGTTTGCATGACATGATTCCTTGTAAAAGGTTTCAGTTTGGTGTTCTAACATCTTAACACCTGTTTTGTTGCCAGAAAAAGGGGAAAACCTATTCTCATAATGACAAATACTTCTAAACGACCGTATTCATGCGGTTCAAGGGGCAGAACAATGCTTTTCACCACTAGCGAGTAGTTATCACACCACCTGGGGATGGAAACCTTTTTCGAAAACAAAACTTCTTGGAACAATCCTATTCATACCGATATGCGCTGTGTATGTGCGTGTTGGACCGCAGTCACCACGAGGTCCAATAATTATAGCGGGCAGTACGGTTCGAGTTGTCCACGTACTATTCCTGCTAACTGTCCTGCTGAGGTCCAAAGGCGAAACTTCGTAGTGCCAGCGTTCCTTGTACCGAAAAAAAAAGCTCAGGTCCCCAGCCGGGGCGTTGGATCGGCGTTTGTGTGTGCGTGTCGAACACACGGCGCCCTCGGCTGCGCCGTCAGTCTCTCTCCACCGCTGGGGTGCTTGCTGAGTCGACATGCTGCTCATGCAGGCGGCAGTGCCTGCGCTGGCAACTTGCTTTGCACGAGCACCCTTTGCGCCCCCCCCCACGTTTCCCCCAGGAGGGATCCTGCTGTGAGCTGCTCGTCCGCTGCTCCTCACTCTCCAAATCTCGTAAAGTGTATTTCCACACCGCTTAGCTTCTCACAACTCTTATAGCTTGGTACAATACAACTTATCGCAGTCCTTGGCTCTGCAAGCGACTCAAAACAAGGATAAATGTAGACTAAAACTTTCAGCGATACCCCGTCTGTCAGCGCCAAACTCAATACTTAGCAACACATTGCCCCTCTCTGCAAGACTCGACACCCATGGATGATCGAGGACCATACCCCGGAGCTTGTCGTTGCAAGACTGATTTGGATGGTTCGGCTTCTTTGTTATTTCCGAAATGTTCACCTCGGCTCGTCTTCTCACAAAGGACCGGAATTCCTTTCATTTCGCTCCTCGGCCTGTGATTGGTCGGTTTCCTTTCACGACGGAACAACTGTCCATTTGATTGTGACCATTTGTCCGGTGCACGTGTGTGTGTGTGGGAGCGGTGGTGTAGTGGTTAGCGTGCTGCGCTACGAACCTGGCGACCCGGGTTCGATTCTCGCTCACGGCCAACACCAGTAACGATTATCTGAAACGGTCCTGTACCTGGTGCGGTCTGTAAACATCGCCACTGGGGAAACAAAGGCGGTCGGGCGTGGTGCTGGCCACCCACCCCCTCGTGTACCCTTTCGGCCTTCATAGGTGCTCGCTAACAGCACTTGCCCCCACAGTCTGTTAAGGCTATATGGGGGATCTTTGTCTGTTCCAATTTATTGAAGTCATTCCTTAAGTCACATGAAGGCCAGACCCCTTTCCCCTTCTTTCCAGCGGTCATCTCATGGCCTGTGGACACAGATGCTCTTAATTGCCCCTAAGTGTGGTTCCTTTTGGCCTTTTGTTTCGAGGGAGGAGTTCGAAGGTATGCGTCACTGCATTTTTTTGGAACGTGCTGAATCCATATATAAAATAAAATCTATTACATAAAAAATAGGCAATATCACACAATATATGTTTTGGAAAAGGAATATATACAACAGTCAGCTTCTCACGTGTTTAATCTCCGTTCCACGGGACCTGCCGCCTCAGCTTAGTCCACATCCTCCACCCGTGCCACCAAATTAACAAAGGTCCCAGTCGAGGACTCGCTCTCACTTGACATGCTTGCTTGGAGCCTCCTCCTTCACTCTTCCCACGTAGACCTCAACATCCGTTCCCAAAGCAGAGACTCGGCCTCCCGTGTGCCACCTTCACCCCAGCAGCGTCTCACAGCCGAGGTTTTCTTCCCCTTCATGCTTCACGATCGAGAGGGGAATGAAAGAATCCTCCCCACCACATTCCACCTTCACCCCCGGCCACGTCTCGAAGCTGGCGATCCCTCCGCGCTCCCGTTTCACGATCGGTAGGGAGGCGGAAGGATCTTCACCGTCGTATTTCACCTTCACCCCCGGCCACGTCTCGAAGCTGAGGGTCTCTCCGTGTTCTGATGTTAGCGATGCCGAGGGGGATGCCGAGGGGGTCGCCAAAGGGGTGGCCGAGGGGGTCGCCGCGGGACCCTCGCCCCCGAGGCTCGCCACGACCTCCCCAGCGGCAGTCACGCCCTCGTGAAGCCCGGCCCTCCTGCGGGCACAGCGGCGGAGGAGGGGGGGACGGGCCGGCGGCGTCGACGCGCTTGAGCCTGCGCGGGACTGCCGGCGCGCCCGGAAGCTCCCCGACCCGGAGGAGGCCTTCCCGCCCGCGTGCGTCCTCTTGTGCACGTGGAGGGTGCCCAAGTGCGTGAACGAGCTGCCGCACACGTCGCACGCGTACGGCTTCTCGCCCGTGTGGGTGCGCTTGTGGATGCCCAGGGTGCCCGACTGGGCGAAGGACTTGCCGCACGTGGCGCACTTGTAGGGCTTCTCGCCCGTGTGGGTCCTCGTGTGTATGACGAGGCCCTTCGACTGGGCGAATCGCTTCCCGCACACCGCGCACCCGTAGGGCTTCTCTTCCGCGTGGGTCTTCTCGTGGTTGAAGAGCGTCCCCGACTGCTTGAATGCCTTGCCGCACGTGGCGCACCTGTACGGCTTTTGGCCCGTGTGGACTCGCTTGTGGGCGACGAAGACGGCCGAGTGAGCGAACGTCTTGCCGCACACGGTGCACGCGTACGGCTTCTTGCTCGTGTGGATCCTTTGGTGGTTGAGGAGGTGGTGCGACTGAGTGAAGTCCTCTCCACAGATGTTGCAGCAGTAGGGCTTCTCGCCCGAGTGGTTCCTCTTGTCCGATGAGACGTCTCCTGGTGGTGGGGCGAATGCCTTCCCGCTTTGCGCCGGCTTCATGTGCACACTCTGATGGGAGCACAAGTCTCCAGAATTCGCGAAAACTTCATCGCACACCCAGCACTTAAAGGAAGATTCCCTGCCCCCACATTCTACCTTCACCTCTGGCCACGCCTCAGAGCTGGCGATCCCTCCGCGCTCCCGCTTCACGATCGGCAGGGTGGTGGAAGGATCTTCACCGTTGCATTCCACCTTCACCCCCGGCCACGTCTTAAAGCTGAGGATCTCTCTGTGTTCTGATGTTAGCGACGCCCTAGGGGTCGCTGAAGGGGTCGTCGAAGGGGTCGCCGAGGGGGTCGCTGCGGGACCCTCGCCCCCGAGGCTCGCCACGACCTGTCCAGCGGCAGTCACGCCCTCATGGAGCCCGGCTCTCCCGCGGGCGCTGCGGCGGAGGAGGGGGGGACGGGCCGGCGGCGTCGACGCGCTCGAACCCGCGCGGGCCTGCCGGCACCCCCGGAGGCTCCCCGACCCTGAGGAGGCCTTCCCGCGCGTGGGACACGCGAAGGGCCTCCCGCGCACGTGCGTCCTCTTGTGCACGTGGAGGGTGCCCACGTGCGTGAACGACCTGCCGCACACGTCGCACGCGTACGGCCTCTCGCCCGTGTGGGTGCGCTTGTGGATGCGCAGGGTGTCCGACTGGGCGAAGGACTTGCCGCACGTGGCGCACCTGTAGGGCCTCTCGCCCGTGTGGGTCCTCGCGTGTCTGACGAGGCCCTTCGACTGTGCGAATCGCTTCCCGCACACAGCGCACCCGTAGGGCTTCTCTTCCGCGTGGGTCTTCTCGTGGTTGAAGAGCGTCCCCGACTGTTTGAATGCCTTGCCGCACGTGGCGCACCTGTACGGCTTTTGGCCCGTGTGGACCCGCTTATGGGCGACGAGGACGGCCGAGTGAGCGAACGTCTTGCCGCACACGGTGCACGCGTACGGCTTCCTCCTCGTGTGCATCCTCTGGTGGTTGAGGAGGTGGTGCGACTGAGTGAACTCCTCCCCGCAGACGTTGCAGCGGTAGGGCTTCTCGCCCGCGTGGTTACTCTCGTCCGGTGAGACGTCTCCTGGCGGTGGAGCCAATGCCTTCCCGCTTTGCGCCGGCTTCATGTGCACACTCTGATGGGAGCACAAGTCTCCAGAATTCGCGAAAACTTCATCGCACACCCAGCACTTAAAGGAAGATTCCCTGCCCCCACATTCTACCTTCACCTCTGGCCACGCCTCAGAGCTGGCGATCCCTCCGCGCTCCCGCTTCACGATCGGCAGGGTGGTGGAAGGATCTTCACTGTCGCATTCCACCTTCACCCCCGGCCACGTCTCGAAGCTGAGGGTCTCTCCGTGTTCTGATGTCAGCGATGCCAAGGGGGTTGACGAGGGGGTCGCCGAAGGGGTCGCCGAGGGGGTCGCCGAGGGGGTCTCCGCGGGACCCTCGCCCCCGAGGCTCGCCACGACCTGCCCAGCGGCAGTCACGCCCTCGCGGAGCCCGGCCCTCCCGCGCGCGCGGCGGCGGAGGAAGGGGGGATGGGCCGGCGGTGTCGACGCGCTCGAGCCAGTGAGGGCCTGCCCGCGCGCCCGGAGGCTCCCTGACCCGGAGGAGGCCTTCCCGCTCTTGGGGCACGCGAAGGGCCTCATGTGCACTCTCTGATGGGAGCAGAAGTCTCCCGAATTCGCGAAAACTTCATCGCACACCCAGCACTTGTAGGGCTTCTCGTCGGCGTGGCTCCTCTGGTGGCCGATCAGAGTGGCCGCTTTGTCCGTGCTGTACGGGCAGTGGGGGCACCGGTACAGCACGGACTCGGTCCGGCCCCTGTGCCGCTTCATGTGGTCCTCCAGGGCGGGCAGGCTGATCATCACCCAGTTGCAGATCGGGCAGTAGATCTTCATGTCTCCTCCCTCGTTCATCGTTGCCGTCCTGGCACTGGGGCAAAGAGTGAGGCACACGAAGGAAAATTAATCTCCCCCGCCCTGCCCCTGTGAAGTATCGCAAACAAGGCATGAAGCTAGAAACCACAGACACCGGTTGCTAACTGTAGAACAAAGGCGGTGGTCACCGCTGCGTCCCGTGGTGCTTTCAGATGCTGCTGTTGCTTGTGGCGGACGTCTGGAACGCTCTTCCTCTCCGGTATGAGGAAGCCACTGGGAGCTACGATGCAATTGTAAATCATCTCCAAGATTGACAAACTCATTTCTTTAGAACTGCTGCTTGTTGTTGTGTTTAATTTGTTGTCCTTCCCCCGCACCTCCGTTTAGCGTGGTTGGCTACTGATCTGTTTTTATTTTTGCTGCCTTGCCCAATCTTGATAAATCGGACTTAAACAATTAATTTACATTTTGCGACTTGCCTACCTTTAGTTCTATTTTGCACTCTGTGTATCGTGTGTTTGTGTGTATCATGTGTTTGTGTGTATCGTGTGTGTGTGTATCGTGTGTGTGTGTGTATCGTGTGTTTGTGTATCGTGTGTATCGTGTGTTTGTGTGTATCGTGTGTTTGTGTGTGTATCGTGTGTTTGTGTATCGTGTGTTTGTGTGTATCGTGTGTTTGTGTGTATCGTGTTTGTGTATCGTGTGTATCGTGTGTTTGTGTGTGTGTGTGTGTATCGTGTGTTTGTGTGTATCGTGTGTTTGTGTGTATCGTGTGTTTTTGTGTATCGTGTGTGTGTGTATCGTGTGTTTGTGTGTATCGTGTGTTTGTGTGTATCGAGTGTTTGTGTGTATCGTGTGTTTGTGTGTGTATCGTGTGTGTGTGTGTGTATCGTGTGTTTGTGTGTATCGTGTGTGTGTATCGTGTGTATCGTGTGTTTGTGTGTATCGTGTGTGTGTGTGTATCGTGTGTGTATCGTGTGTACCGTGTGTTTGTGTGTATCGTGTGTTTGTGTGTGTATCGTGTGTGTGTGTGTGTCGTGTGTGTGTATCGTGTGTATCGTGTGTTTGTGTGTATCGTGTGTGTGTGCATCGTGTGTTTGTGTGTATCGTGTGTTTGTGTGTATCGTGTTTGTGTGTATCGTGTGTGTGTGTGTGTATCGTGTGTTTGTGTGTATCGTGTGTGTGTATTGTGTGTCTGTGTGTATATCGTGTGTGTGTGTGTATCGTGTGTTTGTGTGTATCGTGTGTTTGTGTGTGTATCGTGTGTGTATGTATCGTGTGTGTATCGTGTGTATCGTGTGTTTGTGTGTATCGTGTGTTTGTGTGTGTATCGTGTGTGTGTGTGTGTGTATCGTGTGTTTGTGTGTATCGTGTGTGTGTATCGTGTGTATCGTGTGTTTGTGTGTATCGTGTGTGTGTGTGTATCGTGTGTTTGTGTGTATCGTGTGTTTGTGTGTATCGTGTTTGTGTGTATCGTGTGTTTGTGTGTATCGTGTGTGTGTGTGTGTGTATCGTGTGTTTGTGTGTATCGTGTTTGTGTGTATCGTGTGTTTGTGTGTATCGTGTGTGTGTGTATCGTGTGTTTGTGTGTATCGTGTGTTTGTGTGTGTCGTGTGTTTGTGTGTATCGTGTTTGTGTATCGTGTGTTTGTGTGTATCGTGTGTGTGTATCGTGTGTATCGTGTGTTTGTGTGTATCGTGTGTGTGTGTGTCATGTGTTTGTGTGTATCGTGTTTGTGTGTATCGTGTGTTTGTGTGTATCGTGTGTTTGTGTGTGTCATGTGTTTGTGTGTATCATGTGTTTGTGTGTATCGTGTGTGTGTATCGTGTGTTTGTGTGTATCGTGTGTGTGTATCATGTGTGTGTGTGTATCGTGTGTTTGTGTGTATCGTGTGTGTGTATCGTGTGTATCGTGTGTTTGTGTGTATCGTGTGTGTGTGCATCGTGTGTTTGTGTGTATCATGTGTTTGTGTGTATCGTGTGTTTGTGTGTATCGTGTTTGTGTGTATCGTGTTTGGGTGTATCGTGTGTTTGTGTGTATCGTGTGTTTGTGTGTATCGTGTGTTTGTGTGTATCGTGTGTGTGTGTGCATCGTGTGTTTGTGTGTATCGTGTGTGTGTGTGTGTGTATCGTGTGTTTGTGTGTATCGTGTGTGTGTATTGTGTGTCTGTGTGTATATCGTGTGTGTGTGTGTATCGTGTGTTTGTGTGTATCGTGTGTTTGTGTGTGTATCGTGTGTGTGTGTGTATCGTGTGTGTATGTATCGTGTGTATCGTGTGTTTGTGTGTATCGTGTGTTTGTGTGTGTATCGTGTGTGTGTGTGTATCGTGTGTTTGTGTGTATCGTGTGTGTATCGTGTGTATCGTGTGTTTGTGTGTATCGTGTGTGTGTGTGTGTATCGGCAAAACAACCCCCTACCTCCTCGCGGTGCCGGACGGGCAACTCTGTCGTGGACAGCGCTGTGGGGGGAGATCCAATTTTGATTGGCTCCTCCCCTCATGGCATATGTGTCCACCACAGGGGCTAAACGGGGGCTCTGGACGGGTGCGAGGGGCTGGTAACCCCTCCACCTTCAATTAATTACCACGAAACTACGAATTAAACTGAAATATGTAACAACTAAGCTTGTGCCGGAGGCCCCGGGGGGCCAGGCGTCTATGACGTCTCCTGGCCAAACCCCAATTGGCGGAGCCAGGAGATTGAATACCTACCCTCGGGGCTACTCCAGAAACAACGAAAAGCCACTACGGTTGGCCACGTGGAATGTTCGAACGCTCACTGCAGAGGAGAGGCTGCCACTCCTCTGTCGGGAGCTGGACCGGTACCGCCTGGATCTATGCGGCATTCAGGAGGTCCGGTGGACCGGCTCTGGCTCCTGCCACCATGAGGGGTGGACAGTCCTCTACTCGGGGCAGCAGACTGCCAAACAACAGGGTGTGGGTCTTCTTTTGAACAAAAGAATGAAGGGGGCGTGGGAGCGTGGCGGTGAGGTGTGGGAAGCTGTAAGCCCCAGGCTACTTTGGGCTCGCCTTCCCATCAACCGGAGGCGAGGAATGGTGGTCGTGGTTACTTATGCCCCCACCGAAGATGAACATCCGTGGAGGGATGCAGGCAAAGCCGATGAGTCAGATGCCTTCTATGACCTCCTGTCACAGGTGCTGGCTAAAGTGGCCCCTCGGGATAGAGTCATCATGTTGGGTGACTTCAATGCCCGAGTTGGTCATGATACTGGCACCTGGTCTGGAGTGATTGGAGGGCATGGGCCAGATCAGCTCAATAACAACGGTAGGAGGCTGCTAGATTTTTGTGCAGCCCATGGGCTTGTAATTACCAACACGCTGTTCCGGCATCGGCGCATCCACACAACATCATGGATGCATGCCGGGTCCAAGCAAGAACATCTGCTGGACTACATAGTGACGGACCAGCGAATGCGAGCCCATGTCCTTGACACCAGGACCTACCGTGGAGCTGATCTGCCCTCTGACCATCGACTAGTCATCTGTAAGATGCGCCTGCCATTCTTCCACTCCGGTGGTGGGTGTACACCCAGGACCCCATTCCAACCTAAAGTGGCCTGGTCTCAGTTATCTGATGAAAGTTGCAAGCGAGAATTTCATCATCGCTTGCGGCTGGGATTGGTATCGTCCCCGACTCCTCCTGATGTCGAGGGTAAATGGGCGAGGTTTAGGACTGTGAATCATGCAGCTGCAATGGCTGCTTTGGGTACGCGGTCCAGACCTCCCCAGACACCCTGGATGACAGAGGAGTTGTTCACGATGGTTGAGAAAAAGCGACAGGCCCACTGTCATCGGCTACAGAATCCCACGTCAGAGAATGAGGAGGCTTACCGCAGCCTTCGCTCGGAGGTTCGGAGAGCCGTGAGGCGCTGCAAGGATGGGTGGTGGTCGCGGGTTGCTGAGGAGATGGAGTCTGCCTCAGTGGCCCGTGATCACAAATCTCTATTTAACTCCATCAAAAAAGTAACCTGCAGCGCCACACCTATTACCATCATTAGGGGAAAAAACGGTGATCCAATTTCCGACCCGCAGGAACAGGTTCGCAGATTTGCTGAGCATTTCTGTGAGGTCCTGGGGGAGGGAAAATCCCTCAGCCAGGAAAACATCGTGGCACAAAGTGAGGATGACCCTGCTGAGGCTGCGGTGCCTCAAATATTGGATGAAGTCACCTCCTGTGAGTGGCTGGCTGAGGTGCCATCTGCTGAGGAAGTATTGAAGGCGATCTGGAGTCTGAGACCAGGAAAGGCAGCGGGCAAAGATGATCTCCCAAGCGAAATGCTGAGGGAGGGTGGCGTTTGTGCACAGACTGCCCTATATGACATCATAACAACAGTCTGGACCACTGGACGGGTTCCGCAGGATTGGAAGGATGCCCTGGTGGTCCCCCTTTTTAAGAAGGGGGACCGCACAGACTGTAACAACTACAGGGGCATCTCACTCCTCAGTGTGCCGGGAAAGGTCCTGGCAAGGATTATTCAGCATCGCCTTGCCAGGCACGCTGAGGAGAGGCTTGCGGAGCCCCAATGTGGTTTCAGGAAAGGGCGGTCCTGCACAGATGCCATATTTTCTGTCCGTCTGCTACAGCAGAGGTGTAGGGAATTCCAACAAGACCTACATCTCTGCTTTATTGACCTGGTCAAGGCCTATGATACCATCAGTAGGCCTGGGCTCTGGGTCGTTCTTCGTGCTTTTGGAGTACCTGACCCTCTGCTCACGATCATTAAGGACCTTCATGATGGTGAGCGGGCCCGGGTAAAACTACGTGGCCGGGAGTCAGAGCCATTCCCTGTACACCTTGGGGTGCGACAGGGATGTCCTCTGGCTCCCACATTATTTAACATCTATTTTGACCACGTAGTTCGTGAAGCCTTCATTAGCTGTACCGGGGGAATCTCCATATGGTACAGATATAATGGGAGGCTAATCGATGCCCGGGTGCGGTCAAGGGATGGCTCCCTATTGCTCAACCACGTTATGTATGCTGATGACTTGGTAATAGCTGCTCAGTCAGAGGAGGAGTTGGAGACGCTGCTGCTGAGACTGGAGCGTGCCACTAAGAGGTGGGGCCTTACCATCAGCCCCACCAAAACTAAGCACCTGCCTGGGTATTTTGTACCATCGGACACTCCACCCCCACAACTCCCAATCGGTGATGGGGCAGTTGTGGAGAGAGTGGAGAGTTTCCCATACCTGGGCAGTGTGCTTATGACTGGCTCCAGTTTAACAGCAGAGGTCTCACTCCGAATCAGTCGAGCGGCAATATCTTTTCATCGGTTGCGTAACGCTGTGTGGAAGCTACCTGGTCTGTCGCTCCGCACTAAGCTTCAGGTCTTCTCGGCCACGGTCATTCCCTCCCTTCTCTACGCTTGCTAAACGTGGACCCCCCTAATGGAACATCTTCGCCGGTTAGAAACATTTAGGCTGGCCTGCCTACGATCCATCCTGGGTTTAACCAGACTGGATTGTGTGAGGAGCTCACAAATCCTTGAAAGATCTGGGCAGGGTCCCATCGGTGAGCTCCTCCGGCAGGCAAGGCTGCCATGGCTGGGTCATGTAGCCCGCATGCCCAGCCACCGCATGCCGAAACAGCTTTTGTTTGGCCGGATTGAGGGGGCTAAGCGGGCGCGGCACGGGCTAGAGAAGAGATGGAGTGATGTGGTACAGGAGGACGTGGAGCTGAGTGGACTTGCCGATGACTGGTACCAGCGGTGTCAAGATCGGCCTCTGTGGAGGAGGCTCGTGAAGGATGCTACTGGGCAGTTGGAGGCAGTCGCCCTCCAACAACAACGGAGGGCGGAGGAGCGACGCTCACAACAGCGAGCGGAGCGCCGGGTGGCTAAAGCACAGCAGGTTGGCACAGTAGGGGGCACAGGTGGTGCATCAGCCAGTCATCTCAGTCAGTCGACCCGTGGCACCTGGGTCTGCCCCGTGACCTCCTGCCAGCGGGCGTTCGACACTTCACGTGGCCTCAGGGTGCACATAGCCTGGCACAAGCGTCGTGGTGACGTCACCGCCACTTAGTGGCGAATGGCGGTTGTTGTTGTTGTGTGTATCGTGTGTTTGTGTGTATCGTGTGTTTGTGTGTATCGTGTGTGTGTGTATCGTGTGTTTGTGTGTATCGTGTGTGTGTGTATATCGTGTGTTTGTGTGTATCGTGTGTTTGTGTGTATCGTGCGTTTGTGTGTATCGTGTGTTTGTGTGTATCGTGTGTGTGTATTGTGTCTGTGTGTATATCGTGTGTGTGTGTATCGTGTGTTTGTGTGTATCGTGTGTTTGTGTGTATCGTGTTTGTGTGTATCGTGTGTTTGTGTGTATCGTGTGTTTGTGTGTGTATCGTGTGTTTGTGTGTATCGTGTTTGTGTGTATCGTGTGTTTGTGTGTGTATCGTGTGTTTGTATGTATTGTGTGTATCGTGTTTGTGTGTATCGTGTGTTTGTGTGTATCGTGTGTTTGTGTGTATCGTGTGTTTGTGTGTGTATCGTGTGTTTGTGTGTATCGTGTGTTTGTGTGTATCGTCTGTTTGCCGTTGTTAATCGCTGACTCCCTACACCCATACTGGACAATTGTGGAAAAGAGCTTTATAGCTCATCGGATTCCTCCTCCTGCAGTCTGAATAAAGATTCTGATTCTGACTGAGATGACTGGCAGATGCACCACCTGTGCCCCCTACTGTGCAAACTTGCTGCGTTTTAGCCACCCGGCGCTCCGCTCATTGTTGTGAGCGTCGCTCCTCCGCCCTCCGTTGTTGTTGGAGGGCGACTGCCTCCAACTGCCCAGTAGCGTCCTTCACGAGCCTCCTCCACAGAGGCCGATCTTGACACCGCTGGTACCAGTCATCGGCAAGTCCACTCAGCTCCACGTCCTCCTGTACCACATCACTCCATCTCTTCTCTAGCCCCGTACCTCCTGTACCACATCACTCCATCTCTTCTCTAGCCCCGTGCCTCCTGTACCACACCACTCCATCTCTTCTCTAGCCCCGTGCCTCCTGTACCACATCACTCCATCTCTTCTCTAGCCCCGTGCCTCCTGTACCACATCACTCCATCTCTTCTCTAGCCACGTGCCTCCTGTACCACATCACTCCATCTCTTCTCTAGCCCCGTGCCTCCTGTACCACATCACTCCATTTCTTCTCTAGATCCGTGCCTCCTGTACCACATCACTCCATCTCTTCTCTAGCCCCGTGCCTCCTGTACCACATCACTCCATCTCTTCTCTAGCCACGTGCCTCCTGTACCACATCACTCCATCTCTTCTCTAGCCACGTGCCTCCTGTACCACATCACTCCATCTCTTCTCTAGCCCCGTGCCGTGCCCGTTTAGCCCCCCTCTATCCATGCGGTGGCTGGGCATGCGGGCTACATGACCCAGCCAACGCAGCCTTGGAGGAGCTCGCCGATGATAGGGGACCCTGTCCAGATCCTTCAAGGATTTCTGAGCTCCTCACACTGCGATTCAGCCTGCAGGTTAACACCCACGATTGATCGTGGGCAGGACCGGCCTGCAAGTTGAAACCGGCGCAGACACAACAACAACAGCCGCCATTCGCCACAAAGTGTCGGTGACGTCACCACGGCGCCTGTGCCAGGCTAGGTGCACTTTGAGGCCGTCACGTGAAGTGTCGACAATTAAAAAAAGATCCCCCGTGTAGCCTCACCAGACTGTTGGGGCAAGTGCTGTTAGCGAGCACCTACGAAGGCCGGCACGGCACACGAGGGGGTGGGTGGCCAGCACCACGCCCGGCCGCCTTTGTCTCTCCCCCAGTGGCGATGCTTACCACACACACACACAGCACCAGGTACACATTTGAGGCTGAGTCGACCTAGGGGAGGCCCAGGAACCGGTTCAGGTAATCGTCACCGGCGCTGTTGGCCGTGAGCAGGGTCGCCGGGTTCGTAGCGCTAACCGCTGCACCACCGCTCCCCACAGGGGCAGGCACACACACAAAGATAAAGATCCCCCAGGTAGCCTCACAGAGGCTCTGCAGTCGCAAGTGCTGCTGTTAGTGGCGAGTAGCAGTACCTATGGAGGCCGGCACGGCACGCGAGGGGGTCGGTATCCAGCACCACGCCCGGCCGCCTTTGTCTCTCCCGCAGTGGCGATGTTGAACTTCACAACCACACGCAGAGACACGGAGATCTCGACTCTCTGTCTCCGTGCGTGACGGCACCCAAACCCGTCGGTGACGTCACCCAAACCCGTACGTGACGTCACTCAAGTCGTCCACGCCCCAACCGGGGTAGTGGTAACATGACGTCACGCACACACGCGCGAGGGACCGACGTCAACCCTTTGTTAACCACACCCCCTACCCGCAGGATCGAAGACGTCATGTGCCGAGAGGGGTGGGGGGGGGCGTCACTGGCGCCTCCCAGCGACCCGCCACTGCTGGTGACGTCACGTCACGCTCGAGACGCGATTGATGACACGACGTCAGACTGGCGCGCGCCTGCAAGGGGAGGTGTGTGATGTTGAAGAGTGACGTCACGAAGGGGGCTGGATGCGAGTGACGTCAGCGCTACAAAGACAAAGATCCCCACCCCCATCCGTGTAGCCTGTGACAGACTGTAGGGGCAAGTGCTGTTAGCGAGTCGCAGCCACCGATGAAGGCCGCCACGAGGGGGGGTGGGTGGCCAGCAACCACGCACGGCCGCCTTTGTCTCCCCCCGCAGTGGGCAAACATTTGAGGCTGAGTCGACCTAGGGGAGAGGCCCGGGACCGGTTCAAATTAATCGCCGTGACCCGCGAGCGAGATTCGAACCCCGAGCCAGGCCAGGTGCGCTTAGAGCCGATACACGACGTCATACCACCGTCCCCAGCTGAAACCTCCCCCCGCCACGCACGCCTCCATCCCGCGCGCGACGTCACCCAACCATCGTCGGGCGCGATGACGTCACGCACGCGGCGGGGCTGCGAGTGGTGACGTCGTCCAGTCATCGTCGGGCGCGATGACGTCACGCACGCGGTGGGGCTGCGAGTGAGTGACGTCGCCCGCGATGGAGACAGCGGCCCCATCCGTGCGCGAGGCTTTCTGCGGTGAGCGGTGGTGAGGACTCGTCGGTGAGCGGTGGTGAGGAATCAACGGTGAGCGGTGGTGAGGACTCATCGGTTGAGCGGTGGTGAGGACTCATCGGTTGATCGGTGGTGAGGACTCATCGGTTGAGCGGTAGTGAGGACTCATCGGTTGATCGCTGGTGAGGGCTCATCGGTGAGCGGTGGTGAGGACTCATCGGTTGATCGGTGGTGAGGGATCATCGGTGAGCGGTGGTGAGGACTCAACGGTGAGCGGTGATTTCGACGACAGCGGCAGGCACAGCGCCGGCCTTCGTAGGTGGCTATGAGATGTTGACTACCTCGCCTGGTGTACAAGAGTCGTGCGTTCGATCCCAGACCCTGACCCATGCCTGCTGCTGCTGTATATTTAGAGTTTTACATGTATCTCATTCATCATCATCACGGTGGCTAGGAGATGTTAACTACCTCGCCTGGTCTACAGGAGGTTGTGGGTTCGATCCCAGACCCTGACCCATGCCTGCTGCTGCTGTATATTTGGAGTCTGCGTCTCTCTCTCTCTCATCATCATCATCACGGTGGCCAGGAGATGTTAACTACCTCGCCTAGTATACAGGAGGTCGTGGGTTCGAACCCAATGTTGACGATGCCTGCTGCTGTTGTGGAGAGGTTGGTGGAGTTCCCATACCTCAATTGAAAACTAATTTCTTGAGAACTGCTATTTTTATTAGTTGTCCTTCCCCCTGCACCTCCGATTATCATGGTGGGCTACGTACGGTGCGAAAGAAGTTCAACATACATACACTGGACTGTATACTACACAATAATATACTCTAGACTATACACTACACCACTATACACTACACCACTATACAACTATACACGACACTACTACACACTACACCAATATACACTATACCACTATACACTACACCACTATACAACACTACCTCACTATACACTACACCACTATACACTACACCACTACACTATACACTACACTACTATACACTATACAACTATACACTACACCACTATACACTACACTACTATACACTACACCACTATACACTACACCACTATATACTACCTCACTATACACTACACCACTATACACTACACCACTACACTCTACACCACTATACACTACACTACTATACACTATACAACTATACACTACACCACTATACACTACACTACTATACACTACACCACTATACACTACACCACTATACACTACACTATACACTACACCACTACACACTACACCACTATACACTACACTATACACAGCACCACTATACACTACACTACTATACACTACACCACTACACTCTATACAACTATACACGACACTACTGCACACGACACCACTATACACTACACCACTATACGCTACCCCACTATACACTACACTATACACTACACACCACTACTATACACTACACCACTATACACTACACCACTATACACTACACCACTACACACTACACAACTATACACGGCACTACTACACCACTATACACTTCACCAATATACACTACACCACTGTGCTACATTGAGAAGTAATTTCTCTCGAACTGTTTTTAGCTTGTTGTCCTTCCCCCCGCACCTCCGATGTAGTATGGTGGGCTACATACGGTGCGAAAGAAGTTCAGCACGCACACATAACAGCGGCGGATTGACAAGGCATCAACTCTCGTTCCCTCCGCGTGCGTCACTGTGTGCCCTGCGCCGAGACTCTTCGGTATTGCTGCTACAGGGAGCGTCCGTGTTTTCCCCTCTAGGTTTCGTAGCGGTCGGCGGTACCCTACGCGAATGATTGAAGTGGATTGACTTTCCCTTTGTGCCCTGGCGCCGAGTGAAAAATGAAAGAAGAAGAAGAAGAAGGAGAGGAAGTGAAGAGGATCTGCTGCCCGGTCTGCAACTGGGTGGTGGTCAGCCTGCCCGCCCTGGAGGACCACATGAAGCGCCACAGGGGCCGGATCGAGCCCGTTGTGTACCGGTGCCCCCACTGCCCGTACAGCACGGACAATCTCAACGTCCTGATCGGCCACCAGGCGACGCACGACGCGGGGGAGTCCCGCAAGTGCGCCGAGTGCGGCAAGGTGTTCGTCGACGCGGAGGTCTTCCGCGAGCACCGGGCGATGCACGACGAGGAGAAGCCGCACAAGTGCGCCGCGTGCGGAGAGGCGTTCAGCCGGGCGGAAGATCTTCGCGCGCACCAGAGGATCCACGGCGGGGCGCCGTACCGGTGCGGCGTTTGCGGGATGGAGTTCACCCGGCCGGATTGCCTCCGCAGCCACCAGAGGACCCACACGGGGGAGAAGCCCTACCGGTGCGACGAGTGCGGCGTGACGTTCGCGTGGTCGGCGAGCCTCCTGTCGCACAAGAGGATCCACACGGGGGAGAAGCTCTACCACTGCACCGTCTGCGGCATGGAGTTTTCCCGCTCGGACTACCTGCGCAGCCACCAGCGGACGCACACGGGCGAGAAGCCGTACAAGTGCGCCGAGTGCGGCGAGGCGTTCTCGCAGTCGGGCGCCCTCCTGGGGCACAAGAGGATCCACACGGGCGAGAGGCCGTACGCGTGCACCGAGTGCGGCAAGGCGTTCGCGCGCTCGTGGGCCCTCCTGGTGCACACGAGGACCCACGCGGAGGAGAAGCCGTACAAGTGCACCGTGTGCGAGAGGGCGTTCGGCCGCTCGGATCACCTGCGCAGCCACCAGAGGACGCACACGGGCGAGAGGCCCCACGCGTGCGGCGTGTGCGGCAAGGCCTTCGCCGAGCCGGTGGCCCTGCGCGTGCACAACAGGGTTCACACGGGCGAGAGGCCGTGCGTGTGCGCCGTGTGCGGGAAGGCGTTCTCGTGCACGGGAGCCCTTCGCACGCATGCCATGGTGCACACGGGCGAGAAGCCCTACGTGTGCGGCCTGTGCGGCAAGGGGTTCCAGCGCTCGGGGGCGCTCAATAAGCACAGGAGGAGCCACGCGGAGGAAAAGGCCTAAGGGGTGAAAATGCCTCTTTCAAAAGCACTCGCGGTCCGGAGGCCCTGATGTGAACCAATCCGAGCGACGATCTATAACATGCCGAAAAGTAACCTCTGACGCGCAATATTTGACCGGGAGATAAACATTTTACGTGAACGCAAATGGGACCGGCTAAGCAATGCTGTTTGTGTACATATGTTGAACTTCTTTCGCACCGTGTATAGCCAACCGTGCTCGTAGGAGGTGCGGGGGAAGGGTGACACACTAAAATTGCACAGCTCCAGTGGCTTCCGCATATCGGAAGAGCATCCCAGATGGCCGCAGAGCCTCATAGCTAAGTGATAATCACAAAAACGTGGGATAAGGCTGAAGGAATATATAGTCCAGAGAGACATCGAATGAGAATGATGGTAACGAACCAGATGAGTCGCTCTATGCATCAAGAAATACAATTTAAGTTCAAATACAAGTATACAATTCTTTTTGGTTCTTTCGGTAAAGAGTATGGATCCCTGCAGTCACGAAAGCTTCAAAGCAAGTATACAATGTTCACACAGTGTCTTCCAATTCATCGGGACCTCAATAACTTCCCGCGTCGTCGCTTGAAGTCACGCCATAAGCACTTCGTGACCCCATGCGCTTAACCTTCAATGCAATTCAACCCCCGATGAAGCTTGGAGAGCGGAATGGAGTTCAAAAGAACTTGCAAACACTTAGATCTTCCACGAAGCTCATGGTCCACCCTAAACCGCATCCACGGTACAAACCATGGCAGCAGCAGATGCAGATACCTGATGCACAAATGTGAAATTTAAAACTCTCCAGTCTGTGACCGTGGTCATCCAGAACAGGACCGTACAACGTATAACGACGACGCAATGTCTCGACCCACAAATACGAAGGACACATCATGGCGACACACTCCGCTGCTCTTGAACGCGGTTATCCGTCTTGACCATCTGAATGTGAAATCGTAGTTGTTCCTCATCTACATCAGGGACCGTGCGACAAGAAGAAAGAATATGAAGACGCAGTATCTGTTAAAACAAAGCAGATATTGAACTTGTCAATCTGGAAAACGTGTGAAGTGGTTCAATCTCGATTTGAAGCTTTCGTGACTGCAGGAATCCATACTCTTTGGTCCTTTCGGTAAAGTCACGTACGTAGAAAATTAATAGATCACGACGTTTCGATCGCAACAACAAGCAATCGTCATCAGGTGGGACAGCCACAGCAAGAAAACTCTTGCTGATGACTTTACCGAAAGAGCCGTAGAGTATGAAGTGGTGTTCACCGCAGAGGATAATGGGGTCAAGAAGGTCAGGGAGCTTGGTTCGGAAAAAAAGTTGTATATTGCTCTCTGTATAGAAGGGATAAGTGAGAGTTGGAACCAGACCTTGGGCTAGCAGCCTGGAGCTCAAGAACGTGGGTCTAACAGTGAGCGGCAGTGCAGCGGTTAGCGCACTGTGCTACGAATCCGACTCCCGCTCATGGCCTACATCGGTGATGATTACCTGAAAGGGTCCTGTGCTTCCCCTAGGTCGACTCGGCCTCAAATAAGTACCTGGTGCAGAGCGCCAGGCGGGTAAGGCGCAGCGAGGTGGTACAGTGGGGGAGCACGGTTGGTGCATCTGCACCTAGCCTGGCACAGCAGTAAACCCACCTGGGTCCTGTGACCTCCTGCCAGCAGCGAGAGACTTCCACACTTCACGTGGCCTCAAAGTGCACCTAGCCTGGCACAAGCACCGTGGTGACGTCACTGCCACTTAGTGGAGAACGGCGGCTGTTGTTGTTGTTTGGAGCGGTGGCGCAGCGTTGAGTGCGCTGCGCTACGAACCCAGCACAGAGACCCCGAGTTCAAATTCCCACTCACGACCAACACCACCGCCACCAGTGACAGCGATTATCTGAACCGGTCCTGGGCCTCTCCTAGGTCGACTCGGCCGCCAATGAGTTACCTGGTGCGGTGTGTAGTAGTAAACATCGTCGCTGGGGAGACAAAGGCGGTCGAGGCGTGGTGCTGGCCACCCACCCCCAAATTCGTACTGTTACGGCCTTCATACGTCCTACTTGCTAACAGCACTTGCCCCAATTGTCTATTAAGGCTATACGGGGGGTGGTTGTGGGGGGGGGGGGGGTCTTTGACTTTGTTTTGGATGTCTCTTAATGGCGAAGACGTAAATGGTAGAAGATGGTTTAGCCACAACGGTGGGATGCCGCCGGGAGTTTGGGTGTAAACCACGGTGGCTATGAGATGTTAACTACATTGGCTGGTATACAGGCCGTGGATTTGATCTCGACCTTGACGCTTGCTGTATATTTGGAGGTTGCATGTTCTCCCTGTTGGCGCGTGGATTTTTTCTCCGGGTCCTCCGGTTTTTCCCCTCCACATTTAAGCATCGACCTCGCACGTTGAGAGTATTTGGCCGCTATACATTTCCACATAACGATGAGCCACTTCGTTGAGCAATCATTTGTGATAGTCAAGTTGCTTCTGAAAAATATCTATTTCGTGCAGTGGGCCTTACCTGGTAAAATAAAAAAAATGTTACTAGTTGAAAATGTGAAAAAGAGCTTCATAGCTCATTGGATTATTTTTCCTTCTGATTCCGTTCCGATGATGGCAGTGTACATCGATGAAAACCGGCTGTGGAGGGGCTCCGTGTGGCTGGCTTGTCGGAACCACACTTGCAGGCGGGGGGAGTACTGCAGCGGGCAAACACAGATGGCTCAGAGGCAGGGGTGGACTGCCAGAGGTGGAAAAAGGCCCTGTTAGAGTTGGTGGAGCGTTGCGATGGGCAGACGCCAGCGGGCAGGCTTAGTTGGGGGTGTAACGGGTTCATTTTGATGGGTTCACACCCATTCAATACTGGTGATGTGTAGGATTGACCTCGCACCCATTTAATGCTCGTGGTCTGTAGGGTTGACCTCGCACCCATTCAATGCTCGTCTGTAGGATTGACCTCGCACCCATTCAATGCTCGTGGTCTGTAGGATTGACCTCACACCCAATGCTCGTGGTCTGTAGTTTTGACCTCGCACCCATTCAATGCTCGTGGTCTGCAGGGTTGAGATCGCACCCATTAAATGCTTGTGGTGTGTAGGATTGACCTCGCACCCATTCAATGCTCGTGGTCTGTAGGATTGACCTCACACCCAATGCTTGTGGTCTGTCGGGTTGAGCTCGCACCCATTCAATGCTCGTGGTCTGTAGGGTTGAGCTCGCACCCATTCAATGCTCGTGGTCTGTAGGGTTGACCTCGCACCCATTCAATGCTCGTGGTCTGTAGGATTGACCTCACACCCATTCAATGCTCGTGGTCTGTTGGGTTGAGCTCACACCCATTCAATGCTTGTGGTCTGTAGGGTTGACCTCACACCCATTCAATGCTCGTGGTCTGTAGGATTGACCTCACACCCATTCAATGCTCGTGGTCTGTAGGATTGACCTCACACCTATTCAATGCTTGTGGTCTGTAGGATTGACCTCACACCCAATGCTCGTGGTCTGTAGGGTTGAGCTCGCACCCATTCAATGCTCGTCTGTAGGATTGACCTCACCCATTCAATGCTCGTGGTCTGTAGGGTTGAGCTCACACCCATTCAATGCTTGTGGTCTGTAGGGTTGACCTCACATCCATTCAATGCTCGTCTGTAGGATTGACCTCACCCATTCAATGCTCGTGGTCTGTAGGGTTGAGCTCACACCCATTCAATGCTTGTGGTCTGTAGGGTTGACCTCGCACCCATTCAATGCTCGTGGTCTGTAGGATTGACCTCACCCATTCAATGCTCGTGGTCTGTAGGATTGACCTCGCACCCATTCAATGCTCGTGGTCTGTTGGGTTGACCTCACACCCATTCAATGCTCGTGGTCTGTAGGATTGACCTCACACCCATTCAATGCTTGTGGTCTGTAGGGTTGACCTCACAACCATTCAATGCTCGTTGTCTGTAGGATTGACCTCGCACCCATTCAATGCTCGTGGTCTGTAGGATTGACCTCACACCCAATGCTCGTGGTCTGTAGGGTTGAGCTCGCACCCATTCAATGCTCGTGGTCTGTAGGATTGACCTCACACCCATTCAATGCTCGTGGTCTGTAGGATTGACCTCACACCCAATGCTCGTGGTCTGTAGGGTTGAGCTCACCCATTCAATGCTCGTCTGTAGGATTGACCTCGCACCCATTCAATGCTCGTGGTCTGTAGGGTTGACCTCACACCCATTCAATGCTCGTGGTCTGTAGGATTGACCTCGCACCCATTCAATGCTCGTCTGTAGGATTGACCTCGCACCCATTCAATGCTCGTGGTCTGTAGGATTGACCTCACACCCAATGCTCGTGGTCTGTAGGGTTGAGCTCGCACCCATTCAATGCTTGTGGTCTGTAGGGTTGACCTCACACTCATTTAATGCTTGTGGTGTGTAGGATTGACCTCGCACCCATTCAATGCTCGTGGTCTGTAGGATTGACCTCACACCCAATGCTCGTAGTCTGTAGGATTGACCTCACACCCATTCAGTGCTCGTGGTCTGTAGGATTGACCTCACACCCATTCAATGCTCGTGGTCTGTAGGATTGACGTCACACCCAATGCTCGTGGTCTGTAGGGTTGAGCTCACCCATTCAATGCTCGTCTGTAGGATTGACCTCGCACCCATTCAATGCCCGTGGTCTGTAGGGTTGACCTCACACCCATTCAATGCTCGTGGTCTGTAGGATTGACCTCGCACCCATTCAATGCTCGTCTGTAGGATTGACCTCGCACCCATTCAATGCTCGTGGTCTGTAGGATTGACCTCACACCCAATGCTCGTGGTCCGTAGGGTTGAGCTCGCACCCATTCAATGCTTGTGGTCTGTAGGGTTCACCTCACACCCATTTAATGCTTGTGGTGTGTAGGATTGACCTCGCACCCATTCAATGCTCGTGGTCTGTAGGATTGACCTCACACCCAATGCTCGTAGTCTGTAGGATTGACCTCACACCCATTCAATGCTCGTGGTCT